AGCGACGAGAAGTGACGAGAGGAACAAGAGGATAAGGGAGGTTGTAGAAGGTCTTGTGGAGTTAGGGAGCACCCACAAAGGAATGCTTGTGAGACTGTGCAGTCTCCAGCCTTGGAGTTCTCCAAAAGCCATCTGGCTTAGAAAAGTAGTAGTGACCCCACAGAGCTGAGGACGCCTCGGGAAGGTGAGAAACCTCAGTGGGGATGAAGCCCCTGAGCTCCCAGATGCCCAGCCTGGGTGTGCAGCAGAGCTGGCCATTGCAGCTGCGGAGGTGAGGACTCCACTGCGAGCTGAGCGGGATCAGCCCCTTCCCATCACTCAGGCCCCAGGGGCTCGGAATGCTCACAGTGCCAATGGCTGAGGGAGCCTCGGGGGCTGCTGCTGGAGGAGCCAGAAACGCACAAGGAGCATTGCGGGCACTGCAAGGACAGCTCATTGCTCTGCCTGCTCCCGCCGCTGCTTCCTTTGCTGCCGCCCAGAGTCGTTTCCGGCAGCTCTGTTCTCCCGGCGCTGGGACGCGCTTTCTGCCTCTTCCCCACTCAGCAAACACGCAGCTTGCTCTCGGCATGCACCTCGCAAATCTCATCCTCACCGTCTTCCTGGGACAGCTCCTCGGTAAGCCCTGGATCTTTCCCAATGCATCCTTCTTTTTCTTCTCTTCACCTTCTTCCCTTCTTCTTCTCCCTTCTCCTCATGAAATCCTCAAAAGCCTAATCAGGACCATGGGGGAAATGCCAATGAATGAAGGGAGAAGACTAAGAAAAATCTGCTTCTATCTGTGGTTTTACAAGTGCTTATATCTGTGGTTTTACAACTGTTTCCTGAAGGAGCTATTCAATTTGTAAAGGGAAAGGGAACAGAGAGAAACCAGAAAATATTTTCTCTTTTCCTCACCTTCAATCCTTCTCCCTCTGACTCTGATCCTCCTGCAGTCACCTCAAAAGATCTCAGCTGTCTCTACAGTCCCACCTTCTTCCCATTTCAACGAACATTCCCAGGTCCTGTCAAGCCCTCCCCAGGCACCTCGTGTCGGAGGACGGGCGTTCGAGCGCGCTGTGGCTCGGCCGGCCCCGGCGCGGGGGCGCGGCCGTGTATTACTGCGCGCTGGGGGCCACGGGCAGAGGAGCCGGGGCTGCGGCCGGGCACGAACCGCCGCGGGCGGGGCCGGCCGGGGCCAGCAGGGGGCGCTGCCGCTCCGCCCGCCGGGCTCCCGGGGCTCCTCCTCGCCCCGCACGTCCCGGGCTGCTGGCACCAGAACCGACACCGGCAATGGGAGCGGGACCGGGACCGATACCGACAAGGACACCACCACCGGTAGCGACACCGGTACTGGCCCCGATACCGACAACAGCACCCACTCCGGCGCCAGCTCCGACTTGGACTCACCGACCGCGCTCGGCCGCTCTCCTCAGCCAGGGCGGAGTCCAGCTGAGCTCCAGTCGGCCCCAAAAAGCCCTGCCCAGCCACAGCTACATTTGACCATGAGATAGATGGTCTCTGTGAGGCAGGGCGGGCAGCAAGTTCTTTCCCAAGCCACCTCTTGCTCCTTCAGAAAGGGCTCTGTACCCTCGGGGAAACGGGGCATCCTCTGGCCTCTCTACAAAGGTAGGGCTAGCGTTCTCTGAGAAATGCATCAGCGAGGACACATATTCCCACCCTGCCCATGTCAGGCCGCTTCTCCTCTTTGCCTTTGTCCTTCTCTTCCCAGGGCTGAAGAGCTGGTTTTGCCTTTGGAAAAGGCCAATTGACAGTTCATGGTCACTCACGTGTGAAGCCCAGAATAACATGCTGCACTGAAACTTCACCTAAGTCATATATCGAATCCATTATGGACAGAATGTTATTTCAAAAGACACTGTTCACAGAGTCTGAGACAGTATCTGCATGCAGTCACACCTAAGCTTCCCCACTGATAAGGTGTTCAGAGTGCAAGGCCGTTCCTTCTGTTCCTTGGCACCCAATGGATCTCCCTGACAATTTCATCTGTAATCTCTTCAGGAAATGAACAAGTGAACCTTGATACCAAACCCTGTTAAACTACTCTTGCATGCACACACACACAGGCACACGGACACATGGATACACAGACAGAGAGACACTCAGACACACAAACACAAAGACTCATGGACATATGGACACAGAGACACAGACAGGTCTCTCCAGGCCAGTGCACAGCTTCTTGCCCATGAGCTACATCAGATTGGTTTCGTGGACACGGAGAAAAGTTGAGGCTTTATGCCCAGCTCCTGTACCCGTGTTTTGGGTTTCTTTCCAGCGCCCTGAAGGACAATTCGGGAGTCCCCACATGACAGCAAAGGGAGGATGGGAGGGAACAGATTATGGGAGCGAAGGAAACGCAGGCACTGTCAGTCTCGAGCTCCATGATCCCAGCCCGATCCCCTGCCCCCCAGGCCGGCGCCGCCGCTTCCGACGTGCAGAGAGCCGAGCGCCGCCGCGCAGCCCCCGCGCTCGCCTCCCCTCCGTTCCCCGGCAGGACTCGGCGAGAGCCCGAGCGGCAGCGGCGCAGGGCTCAGCCCCGGGGCGGAGGCGGAGAGGAGGCGGCACGGCCGCAGCAGAGCCGGGGCTCAGGGGCACAGCGAGGCTCGGCCGGCGGAGCGGCGGCATGCGGCGGTGTCGGGGCGCGGGGCTGGCGGCGCTGGCCGCGCTGCTCATCGGTGCGCGGGGTTTGGCACCAAGAGGGCAGCGGCTGGAGCATTCCCTAGGGAGACTGGCTCGGATGTTTCCCTCTCTTCCTCAACTCCTTGTCTCTCCCGGTGCCTCTGCCATCTGTCATCCCAGCAAGTCTTCATGATTTGCGTTAGTAAAGCCTGCTTGCATGTATTCCTCGTGTTTATCCCTTTCTCTTCTCCATCCCATAGTCCCTCAAAAATCTCCTGATTCCATTCTATGTCCAACCATGCACAAGCATTCCATTCCTCTCATTCTTTATTATTTGTGATCTAAGTCCTTGCTCCTTCTACATTTTCTTCTTGTATATTTGTGCTTTCTCTCACATCATTCTATTCTCCACTGACTGCACTGTTCTTCCTTTCATTCACTCATTCATTTCTCCACAAAGGCGTAATGGACATTTCCATTCCTGCTTATCTTGAAATCGCCTCGTTACTGTTTTGCTCATCATCTCTATACATTCCTGACTGTTTACGCTGGGGGCCACGGGCAGAGGAGCCGGGGCTGCGGCCGGGCACGAACCGCCGCGGGCGGGGCCGGCCGGGGCCAGCAGGGGGCGCTGCCGCTCCGCCCGCCGGGCTCCCGGGGCTCCGCAGCTCCTTCCTCTGCCCCGAGCCCGCACGCGCCGGCACCGCGAATCACAAGGAAAGGCCGACACACATCCCGTGCCTCCTGCCGTCAGTGCAACTGGCATTGTTTCTCCTCACTTCCATCGCATCCCTGAGCCTCACTGAAGCCTTTCTGGGAATAAAGCAGCACCTTGAGCAGAAGAAGAGGTAATTAAAGAACTCCTACTGCACATACACGAGTTCTCGGTACCACAGACACAATCTGGAGTTTGCACAAACCTAAAGGGAAACTCATAGCTCTGCATTGATGAAGAGGTGTGTGTACACACATTTCCAAAGGAGACCCAGGCACAGACACTTCTCCTTCTGCCATGTCCCCACTGATGTGCAAGCATGCACACTCACTCCTGTTTCTGCTCCTGCACCCAAGTCCGTGCACGCACATCAGTGTGAACACTCTTGTCCAGAGATGTGAACACATAAAGCGCGTCCCAATCAGGATCTATTCCCACACACTTACATATACACCTTCTCTATTTCCCTGCTCAGCTCACCCTGATGGTCAATGGGTTTTGCCTCCCCGTGTGTAAGCACTGTGTGCTGGTTCTGACCATGTCCTGTTGAAATTGCCTTCAGGAAAGTAGCCATGTCTCATTGGACATGTGACTCTCTGTTCAGCATGTGAGAATACAAACCATGCCAGGGCCTTGCCTGACTCCTTGTCCTTCCCCACAAGGCTCCAGCCCTGCTGCACTTGTTCCCAGGTTTCCTCAGCAGCGTCCATGGCTGATTGTGTCCTTGCCTGTGTTCCTGGTTTGTGTGTGCCTGTGTTCAGGCAGGGTCCACAGGAATTCAGGTGGGAGCACAAATTCTTGCATGAATCCACCCCGATGTCCAGGTGCCCATGTGTGTGTCTCTGTGTGTCTGTGTGTGTTTCTGTGTGTCTGTGTGTCTCTCTTTGTGCGTGTGTGGGTGGGTGTCCCCTGTTGTGTTACTCAACCAGTGAAATGTGTTGATCTCACTGGAGACGCTCTCCAATGCTCTGCCCTGAGCATCACAGAGCAGCATTTGCCCAGACTCAGAAGAATCCTGGGAGCAGCTGAACAGTGATGCAGCAGCGTGCCGGAGATTTGTCCAGGGAAGAGGCACTGAAATGCAGTCCCTGCTTCCTGAGCCCTCCTTTTCCAGATGCTCTAGACACAGACACACAGATACACTGACATACGGATACAGAGACCCTGAGACACACAGACAGGTCTCTCCAGGCCAGTGCACAGCTCCTCTACTCTGAGCTGCATCAGATTGGTTTCGTGGACGCGGAGAAAGGCTGAGGCTTTATGCCCAGCTCCTGCGCCCGTGTGTGTGGGTTTCTTTCCGGTGCCCTGAAGGACAATTCAGGAGTCCCCACACGACAGCAAAGTGAGGATGGGAGGGAACAGATTATGGGAGCGAAGGAAACGCAGGCCTGTCAATCTCGAGCTCCACCATGATCCCAGCCCGATCCCCTGCCCCCCAGGCCGGCGCCGCCGCTTCCGACGTGCAGAGAGCCGAGCGCCGCCGCGCAGCCCCCGCGCTCGCCTCCCCTCCGTTCCCCGGCAGGACTCGGCGAGAGCCCGAGCGGCAGCGGCGCAGGGCTCAGCCCCGGGGCGGAGCTGGCATCGGCGGCGGAGAGGAGGCGGCACGGCCGCAGCAGAGCCGGGGCTCAGGGGCACAGCGAGGCTCGGCCGGCGGAGCGGCGGCATGCGGCGGTGTCGGGGCGCGGGGCTGGCGGCTCTGGCCGCGCTGCTCATCGGTGCGCGGGGTTTGGCACCAAGAGGGCAGCGGCTGGAGCATTCCCTAGGGAGACTGGCTCGGATGTTTCCCTCTCTTCCTCAACTCCTTGTCTCTCCCGGTGCCTCTGCCATCTGTCATCCCAGCAAGTCTTCATGATTTGCGTTAGTAAAGCCTGCTTGCATGTATTCCTGCTTTTCCATGCACCTATACCTTGTCTTGTACATCCAGCATTTATTTTTGCCCTGAATGCAGCATTCTGTTCTTCACTTAAACTCTTCATTTCTCCATCCATCCGTGTATTTGCAGACCTGACTTCTGCATATTCTGTGCATGCATGAATTTCGAATTCCTCACATTCTTTTCCAGTCTGCCTCTGCCTTGTGGCCACTGTTCCTAACTCAGTCTGGCGAAAAAAATCTCCGAATCACACCGTTTTGATGATGTTTGTTCTTTCTTCCTCCTTTCCCAGCCGTGGCTGTGGATACAGATCAAGTGCAGCAGAGGCCATGGGCAGAGACCACCGAGGGCACCAGCCTGAACCTCACTTGTCAGCACCCCAAAATTGATGCTGACTCCACCCACTGGTATCGCCAATTCCCACACCAAGCACCCCAGCTGATAGCAACTGCTGTCCTAGGCACAAAACCCGTGCTGGACCCAGAGGGGAGTCTGACGGTGTCGGCAGATCGGCGTTCGAGCGCGCTGTGGCTCGGCCGGCCTCGGCGCGGGGACGCGGCCGTGTATTACTGCGCGCTGGGGGCCACGGGCAGAGGAGCCGGGGCTGCGGCCGGGCACGAACCGCCGCGGGCGGGGCCAGCAGGGGGCGCTGCCGCTCCGCCCGCCGGGGCGCTGCCGGCACCGGCAACGGGAGCGGGAACGGGACCGACGCCAACACTGACACTGGCACCTGCACCGGCGCCTGCAGCTTGTGGAGGTGATAATTTTCTGAACAATTCATCTTGAATGCACAACATTCCATCTGATACCATGGACTGGGGTTTGGCTTCCTGCATGAAGAGGTTTTTTTTGTTTGTTTGTTTGTTTTTTTTTTTTTTTTTTTTTTTTTTTTTTTTTTTTTTTTTTTTTTTTTTTTTTTTTTTTGTTGTTTGTTTGTTTTTTTGTTTTTTGGTTTTTTTAATGTGACAGGATAAGAAGCCCAAGCATCAAAATACATCAGTGTGGGCAGAGGACTCAGATCATCTGCTGGACAAGTCCAGAATAGGCAAATTATGTCAGTCTGGGACACTCCTTTGGAGTCATTATGGCCCTGTTGGCAAGAAGTGGCCTATTCCTGGGTTTGGCCGTATCCTACCTAACACTGTATCAGGACAATTCTGCTGGGTTGTTTTGTCTCTTCCTCTTCTGTATTAGGGAGGTGTCATGGGGCAAGAAGGGGTGCAGGGTTCCTCCCTGATCTTAGAAACAAAGGTCTGGTAGCAAATGTCTAAAGGGGCTGTATTAGTAACACAGAATAAAACCGGGAGTATAGATAGGAATGAAACCTTGCATTCTTTCAAATGCTAGGAATCCTGCATTCATACAGCATTATACAGACCCTGGTGGATTTCCAAAGACACTCTCACTATACCCCAACCAGAAACAGCTTCTGCTTCCCTCCCACACCCTGGTGCTTTATATTCTGTATAACAAAAAAAATTACATGCTGTAAGGTTATTTCTGCCACGATGCCCACACACAGGCTGGCATAGGGCACTGTAGGGGCTTCCCAAATCTTTAGTGCAAAGCCCAACAGAGCAGACATGTACCACCCATGATCACTGACTCGTTGAATACAAAGTTTTCTTCAAAGCTCCCAATTCACTCCCCTCTGTGCAGTCTTTAAACAACACCATTAGCCCACCTGGGGCTTTGCCCTTCTCCAGAATGCTCCAGCAACCTTGATGGGGCTGCCCCCAGGGTGTCCCCAGTTGAGTGCACAGTTTGGCATGTTCCTGCATGTGGTCTCTCACCTGGACTCTCTGCATGCTGGATTTCTGCAAGTGGTTTTGGGTGCAGATTTTTGCATGAGTGATGTGAGTCACATGAGCATGTGGGTGTTTGTGTGTCCCTCCTCACAAGGGAATGTGCTGCTCACAGCAGGGACTCCCTCTGCTGCTCTGCCCACAAGCTCCACAAAGCAGCCAGGACCACAAGGAGATTGAGTGTAGCTGAACAGATCAAACCTGCCAGAAATCTGCCCACAGCAGAGGCACTGAAATGCAACCTGCTGTATCTCTATCCTGCACCTACAAAGCTCAGTTTTCCTGCTGATTTCAGGCCCCAACAAGGATGTCTTCATAACAGTTTGGATTCTTAGCTTAATTTGGTCTGAGAGTATTTGGAGTGCAATCCCACAGCTGGAAGTCTTGTCTCTGTTCCTCACCAGCACAAGACACAGCTTTTTTCCCAAGTGCTAGAGAGTACAGAAGGATAGGGTTTGCCTTACGAGTTCCTTCTTGGAGGCAAGGGAGCATTACTGGCTCATTGTCAGGATGGTATCCAGCAGATCCCTCCAGGCTATTTCTGCAAATCTGGGCAGCTCCCAGCACATACTGCTGCATGGGGTTGTTCCTCCCTGGCTGCAGGACACTGCCCTTATGTCCAAAGGGGGAAACATGAGTACCTTACTGCCCTCCCACAGGCACCAGCTCCTTCCCAATGTAGCTTTCAAAGTGCTCATATAGGCTGGGCAGTCTGTCACAAACATCTGCACTTTGCACTGAAATCACTGGTCCTGTGTGTCATCAGGGACCAGTGAGCCTGGGCACCTTCTGGGCATCGCTGAGTCCTCAAAGAACAGAGGCTGCTTTGGCCAGGGGATGTTCACCACCTGGGCAGACTTCAGTGAGGGTCTTTGATTTACAGGGCCACCCTCACCTTGCAGCCTTGGCTGATAAAAAGTACATTGCTGCAGAATCAGATGGCCAGCAGTGAAGATCTCTCTATTTTAGTCAGAGTATGCACCAAAATGAGAAAGAGCAAAAGCTCAGGATTTGCCAGAAGGTGGGAGAGGGAGAGAGGTGCTGCTCAGGAGCTGCTCTTTGGCACTTCTCTGCTCACCAGATCCACACACCAGAGTTTTGCCTCCTGTCTCTGTCCCCATCTCAGTCCCTTTCCTTTTCACTGTGCCAACAGTGGCTGGAAAGCTCCAAGTCCTGCCCTTACGCCTTGCACAGCATGGGGCTGCAGATTCTGCCTCCTTCACCATGCCCTCAGTTTGCTCTCCCCAGCCTGCACTAAGTCAACCCATTGGAACCAGGACTCCACCACCCTATTTTAGAAATTTATGTGTTCACCCATTAAAACACCCTTTCCCCACCAATCAAATTCCTCTGTCATCTCCTGAGTCATTCAGTGTGGAGAAACACTGAACAACTGCTCTCAAAATATCAGAGGCTAAACTAAGAGGAACCCAAAACTCTTTGAAAAGAGCATGACACCTGTGTTTCCCAGAGCCCTGAATGATCTGAGGACGCTCTGAGGAGCTGCTGTGCTTTCAGAAGCCTGCCAGCCATCAAGGAGCACGCAAAAGCAAACACACTCTGCAGTGAGGCAGAGACGTTACCTCACACAGTAAATGCTGTGAACGGAGAAGGAAGCCCAAGGAAAACTACAGGAAGCCACTGAGACTGTCCACTCTTGGCTGTGAGACAAGAAAAGGCAAAAGGTGTATGAGCTTCCTTCCAAAAAGGTGTATGAGCCTTCCACACTGCAAAGGTGTGACTGTGTCACACATGCACTGCACTCTCTCTGCAGGTTGGTGCCTTTTCATTGTGCTACCAAGAGTGTTCTGCTGTGTGCTGAGAGTCTTGTGAAGGAAAAGGGATCCTGAGCTGGGAAAAAATGATCTTCACCATGGCTATGCCAGCATGTGTCCTGCTAATCCAATCAGGTGGGTGTATTCACATCCTTCTTGTTGTCTCTCATGGTTTTTAGTAAGTTATTTGGAGGTGTCTACCAACAAGAGCATGAGCTCAGGGAGAAATATAGAAGGGGGATGGATGTAGATACCTGAACTTTCCATTTCTTTGGAAAGACAGCAAAGATTGGGGCAGTTTTAAACACAGAGCAAGGGAGAGAAGAAAGCAAACTTCTCTGCAGACACATTTATGCCTCTGTTGCAGGTCTTGTTGGAGGTGATCCCCCGAAGCAATTCTTCTCTGAGATGCTAGCCAAAGTTGGACAGCAAGTGGTTCTTCCTTGTGAGTCCACCACTAAGGAGAGTGACACCAATCTGAACTTCATCTGGTACCGCCAGCTCCTGGGAAGTACTCTGACATTTCTCCTGCAAGCACATAAAACCACAGGGAATGACAAGTACCGCAGTGGCCGATTCTCTATGGTGGTCTACAAAAATAACACAGCCCCCTTAGAAATAGCAGGAGTGTCTCTTCAGGACACTGCGATTTATTACTGCACTCTGAGGCTCCACCTTAAGCTAAGGCAAATTTCCGTTCGTACAAAATCTGTGTCACCAACAGCACAGGAGGGCAGATGCTCTACATCCTCCAGCCTCAGCTGTGCTTTCATGCCTGAAATGATCCTCTCCCTCTTATACCAGCCTTTCCAACTTCTCCTATCCCTCCCAACTCCTGCTTATTTTTCTCAAAATCCCATCTATGCAGAGGTATTCAGAGCAGTGACTCAGAGAGGCAGGGCCATGGGACTCTTTGCAGATGAGCTGAAACATGATTTTTCTTACTTCCTCATACAGAACATCCCTCAAGAAAACAATCAACATACCTGGACATAACGTCCAATTGCAGTATCAATCCTGACCTGCACTTCCAGGGAGCTGACACTGCAGAATCCAGTGTTGCTGGGGCATCCTGTCCAAAGCCTTGACCAAGCTGTGGCAGAGCCAGGAGATCCATGTCTCTGCTTTGCTCCTGGCAAGCCCTAGCCCTTGACACAAGAACCCAATGGACCACAGACCTCATCTTGCTTCTCTGTGCAGACTAGCCAAAGAAGACAAAAGCAGCTTTTACCTTAATGCCTTCAGCACTAGGCAGGGCAACCTCCTCTGTGCTGCTCATGGTTAAATAATGAAATCCTCCCACAACCCAGCCAGCATAAAATTTGCTATTTTGAAAAATACCAGTGAAGAAAAAAGCTACTAAAACTTTGAAATACCTAAGCAACCAACAGCACTGCAGTCCATGAGGCAAGAGATTCTGTATATTTAATATGGTGCCTTGAGATCATCAGATAATGAAAACTGATTGAAGACAAAAATGAAGATGATGATCATGATGAGAGTTTCCTCTGGATTGGGCTCACTGTTTGGTAGAGTTGGAAACTCAAAGGCAAGTTGGTTTAGGCATCCCAGAGCCCAAGTAGAACTCAGCTTAGCCTATTCTGTGAGGAGAACTCCCAGAGCCATGGTGGTCCTGTTGCTCACAAGAAGTTTTCCCACCAGGAAACGTTACCTGCAGTACACTGGGCATCACCATACTGCTGGGACCTGAGGGACACCTTCTTGTGTCCTGGCTAGAGCAACAGAAAAAGAGACCCTGGAAATTTGACTGGTTTCTCTTTATCAACCCTCAGCATTTATGTTCACAAGTCAGGTGAATGCAAAAGGAGTAACAGGACTCTGACTGCAGCATAGCATGGGGTGAAGGTGAGTCAGGCAGGGGCAACAAGGATACAGGCAGGAAAATATGGAGAAAGTTGGGGGTTGCAAATTCTCAGCAGTTCTGATTTGCAGACTCTAATGTTTCTGGGATTATTTCCCACCCTTGGAAGGATGACAAGGAGTCTTTGCTCCTGAGAGCTTAAGCAGGTCTGTAAAGCCCCAGCATCTCCCTACCACCATGTCCCACTGCCGCACTGCTGTTTCCCCCAAGTGGAAGTCACAGCGGACATAGCGCTAGTCGTCCACAGGACAGCCCTACAGCCCAGCAGGAAAAACCGGCAAGATTTGGTCGCACGACGCGGGAAGAACGATCCAGGGCTTGGGGGGTGCAGCGGGGAGCTCTGCGGTGTGGAGGGAAGAGGTGTAGGACAAGGGGGTAGGACTGGAGGGAGTCGTTTCCACACTTTGCCCACAAGCAACCCCGGGGCCCGGGGCGGGTGTGTCGGGGCGGGCAGAGGCGCCGGCGCTGCCCCGGCGAGGCGGGGCCGGGCGGGAGCGGCCCGAGCGCGGCTCCGCTCGGCTCCCGTGCGGCTGCAGCGGGGCCGGGGCCGGCAGCGATGGTGGCCGCGCCGGGGCCGGGGCTGCTGGCCTTGGCCTTGGCTTTGTGGCCGGCAGGTAAGAGCCGGGCGGCCAGGGCAGCGAGCCCGGCCAGGGACAGCGACAGCCACAGGCAGGGACAGGAGCACCAACAGGGACGGGGACAGGGGCGGAGGCTGGGGAAAGGCCAGGAGCAGGGGCAGGGCAGGGAACACGGGCAAAGGCCGGGGCACACACAGGGACACGGGCCGTGGGCCGGGGCTGGCGGCTGTGGCTGTGCCGGCCCGGGGGCACCGGGACACCGGGACAGCGCCCTCGGTCCGCGGTCGGCCCTGCCCGATTGCTGCGCTCTCCCTCCGCAGGGCTCTGGGCACAGCCGAGGCTGCAGGAGGCCGGCGGAGGGCTGCGAGCGCCCGGGGACTCCGTCACCCTCTCCTGCCACGGCTCCGGATTCACCTTTAGGAATTATGGAATTTATTGGTACCGTCAGTCACCCGGAGGCAGACCAGAGTGGGTGTCCTTTATCAACTACTCAGGCAGTGTAAAGGACTACGGGGCAGCAGTGAAGGGTCGGGCCACAGCCTCACGGGACAATTACCAGTCTCAGTCATCTCTGGTTTTGAGGGCTCTGCAACCCAGTGACTCTGCCCGCTACTTCTGTGCCATTCACACAGAGACAGGAAACCCAGCTCCGTTTTAACACAAACCTGCTGGGGCCTGGCATGGGGTATGTAAGATGTAGGGAAGGTCAGAGTCACCAGGAGTCTGGAGCTGATGGGTTTCAGGTGTTTTCACAAGAAGTCAGATCAGAGATAGGTGTTCCTGGCTTTAGCTGCACACTGCCAGGATTCTAATATATTGCCAAATTAAAGCAGAGTAGAATTGTGAGTGACAACAATATCAAAAGACATTAAAACACATAAAAAGACATAAAACACATAAAAATTGGCCTTGCTGAAGCCTCACTTCATCTCAGGTTTGCCTTCAATCCTGCATTCCTGGTTTCTCTCCGTCTTCTGTCCAAAAGGCACAGGACCAGTGGGAAAGGCATGTAGAGTCAATTACTACACTTCTGATATGGCTTCTGCAGAATCAACCTGCTCTAGCCTGGCTTCTCCACAGGCTCCACTTCCCTCAGGCCACAACCAAACTGTTTGTGAATTTCTCCAAGCATGGAGACTCCACAAGGGGCCTGGACAACCTGCACTGGTGCTTGGTTATCCTCACACTGTGAGGCTGCACTGCGGGTGCCATGTGCCATAACTCCAAAAAGACCCTTTCCTCCTTCTTTCTCTGAGTCTTATTTCTGAAAATTATCTATTACTGTATGGAATAATCCTTTGCTAATTTGGCATCACACGTCCTGGCTGTTTCTCCTCTCAGCATCTTGTCCATCCTGAGCCTACTCACTGTTGGGGCAAATCAGAGAAGGCCTTGATGTTCTGTCAGCACTATTGAGAAACAGCTAAAGCATACCCCTGCCTGTGCCATCAGTAGCACTGTAAAAAAAAAAAAAAAAAATCCCACTGAAAAGTGAGGAAAATTAGTACAGCTTTTTGAGCTGCCTCAGGTTCCATTTCTCCAGCCTTATGAGGTCCCCCCTCTGGGTGGCAGCACAACTCTGCTGTGTAGCAGCCCCTCCTACTACTCTTGTTTCATTAAAGAATTTGCTGGTTTTCATGTTTATCTCCATCTTCCTAAAGATGGCTCAAGATGCTAAAAAGAGACCCAACACTGACCCCTGGGGTGCCTTGCTAGACAATGACTTCCAACTAGACCTGATGCCACTGACCACAACAATTAGGGATCCTCTGTCTGTCCACTGTTCTGTCCAGATCACCATCTATTCATTCAGTTGAGACTTCATCAGTTTCTCTTAGGAGGACCTAATTTGGAAGGACAGTGTGGAAGGAAAGCCTTCCTAAAGCCAGGTAAACAATACACCCTGCTCTCCCCTCATCTACAAAGCAAATAATTTCAGCATAGAAGTTCATTATCAACTCAGTAAAGTGTGAGTTTCCCTTGGTGAGTTCTGGAAACATTTTTGTATTTCATGTGCCTGGAAATTATTTCCAGGGTTAGGTGCTCCATCAGCGTCTCGGGGCTTGAGGGAAGCTCCCTGGGTCCTCTTTCTTGTTCTTCTTGCAGAGAGCAGTGACATTTGCTTTTCTCCAGCAGTCCTCGGGTACCTCCCCAAAACACCATGATCATTCAAAGATTATTGAGAGCCTCCTTTCTCCAGACTATTCGCCTTACTTGAATTCCTGAAGACCCTCTCTGATGCATGACGTTTTGCCCCAGGGGGCGCTGGATCTCTCTAAAGCTAGAAGGTACTGCATGAATCTCTCAGAATAGAGAATTGTTTTATTAACATCACGAAAAAGGTGATAAGAAGTTATGAAATATTACATTTGGGGTGATACTGGAAACCCCACAATGTCACAGCCTCAGGGAGGACTCTACTCAGGACAGAAAAGATGCACAGATCCCCACCCTGATGATGTTCTATACTGTTGCAATTTTGGCAGGGTTTTGTTAAAAGAACTGAGGCGTCAAGACCTTTGAAAGGGCTCCCAGAGCAAGAAACAGGGACAGCGATGGAGGCGTGCTGGTAGCCCCGGGACAGCAGCCTTCATCTCCTGGGCGTCTCTGCTGCTCTGCCTACGCAGCTGCCAGCGTCCCTCGCCGATCCCCGTTCTCCGGAGTCCGCCCCTTGTCCTGCGACACCCGGGGCCCGGGGCGGGTGTGTCGGGGCGGGCAGAGGCGCCGGCGCTGCCCCGGCGAGGCGGGGCCGGGCGGGAGCGGCCCGAGCGCGGCTCCGCTCGGCTCCCGTGCGGCTGCAGCGGGGCCGGGGCCGGCAGCGATGGTGGCCGCGCCGGGGCCGGGGCTGCTGGCCTTGGCCTTGGCTTTGTGGCCGGCAGGTAAGAGCCAGGGGTGCTCTGGCCAAGCTGATTTGAGGTCCTGGGGTGTCCCATGTGGGAGAAGCAGCTCAGCAGAGCCAGGGCCAGGGGAAGGACAAGCCAACAGCCTCCCTGGTCAGCTCCAAAGTCCCAGCATAGCAAGACTAGTCCCTGCAAGACTCCCTGAGATAAAGGCCAGGGCTGGCTATTAAGAACCATATTACCTTTAGCTCACCACAGCATTTCCTGCCCAACAAATGGTCTGTTACTGTACCACACAGGATGAGTGACGCCCAGGAGGGCTCTAGGAGCTTCAAGTTCTGCTCCTCATGCCCCACCTCTCCCCCTCACTGTTCTCATAGCCAGTCTAAAGCCAGCCCTGCCCTGACCTTTGTTGGATCTTGGAGTGACTGTGCCTTGTTGTTGCTCTCTGCAGCAGTCACTGGCCAGGTGACCTTGGAGCAGTTCCCCAGGGGAGTGACTGTGCAAGAGGGAAATGAAGTCGTCTTCCACTGCAGCTTGCAGAGAGGTGCTATGAGCGGCTATGACATGTATTGGTACCGTCAGGGCCCATGGGGCTCTTTAAAATTTATTTACATGGAGGGTGATATCTATGGAGAAGGTTTCCAAGAACACTTTGTGGGATCAGTGGAGAGCTTCAGTACCACGCTGCAGATACTGGCAGCAAAGCCAGGTGATGCAGCAACATATTACTGTGGAGCAAGAGTCACCCTGGAGCAGCTCTGCAGCACAATGAACCAAAAACCAGCAGATGGGGAAGACAGATCGCTCAGCATTTCTTTCTGGCAGCTGCTCCCCAGGGCTCTTGTCAGGCAATGGCAGGTGCAGGAAACATCCCTCTGGCTTGGGGGCACTAAAAGGCACTGCAGGGAGGGCTGCTAGAAGGGCTGGTACCATTGATGGTGCAGGAGGATCTGTCCTGGGAACTGCACAGGCTGCAGTTTGGGCAAGTGCAGGTTTAGTGCACGTTGCCTGGGCTCCTGTCCAGCACAGCCTCATTTCTCCTTGTTGGCTTGCCTTGGCTCCCAGCCCTTTTTCCTCAGGGACAGGCAACATGCCTTTGGGAACTGGAGATTTGGCTGAGCCACATTTACAGCCTTCGACAGTGACACAAGAGGTCTTGCTGGGTGAGGAGAGAGTGGATGTTGTGCATTCTTCATTCAGTTGTGCTCACAGCACTGGCTTCCCTGGAAACCTTCTGGACAAAGCCTTTTATTATGGCCTAGAGAAGGGTTCAGTGACATGGGTAGTGCACATTCCTCCTCCCAGCCTGTCCTTGTGGTCTGTGGGAAATGAAATTCCTGAAGGCTGATCTGGCTGCTGAAGCCTGAGGTGAATAAAGCATTCAGGACCTCAGCCATGTCCCATATCCTCGGTCACCTGCTCCCCATCCCATTCAGCAGTGGGCCCACCTTCTCCCAGCCTCGTTTGTCCATGCAGCCTCCTGGCATGTTGACCTGACTCCTTGCTCACTGGGGAGGAATCCTCTTCATCTCAGCACTGCTGGGGCTGGGGACAGCTGTGTCCCCTGCTGAGCTCCCAAGCCTGGGAAGGACATGGACAGAGGGGAACAAATGCAGTGAAGGGCCAGGAACACAAGGGAGGGAACAGCTGACATATAAGGAGAGCCTGGAAGATCTGGGTTGGTTTAGCATGGAGAATAAAATGTAGAGGGGCATCTGACACTGTGTTGAAATCCCTGAAACTCTGTAAGTTCCATTCTTCAGGACATTCAGAACTGAACAGGACAAGACTGTGGGCACCTCCTGCCCCTGACCCCATCAGGCAGCTCAGTCCCACACAGCTGCTCACTCAGTCCCCTTCACTGCTATGGAGGAGAGAAACAAATGGGTGGAGTGAGAAAATGTGTGTTTTGACAGGAAGACAGTTGAACAATCATGGCAATACCAACACACAAAAACCAAACAACATCAAGAATTCCTGATGTTGCTCAGACTTGCCATTGGCAGAGAGGAGCAGCAAAGCTGGCTCCTCTTCTGCTCCCCTTTCCTGAAGCCCGTTCTGGCTCTCCAGAAAGAACAGCATTAGGTTTGATGACCACACAGAGCCTTTATGAGAGAGCTTGGCTGCCTGTACCTGTGTCTGCAGCCTTACAGGGCAACAACACACTCTAGGTTTGGACAGAAGAACACACACCCCAAATACAGGAAGCAACAGATATACAGAAAACAAATGCATGCAGAATAGCTCTCCTCACTCCTCTGTGTGCTTCCCCCAATTTCCTTTGTATCATTTGCAGGTTTCCCTGTTCTTTTTCAGCTTTGAAACTTGCGGCCTGAAGAGGACACAGGGTTGTCCTCAACACTCATGTAGCACAAGTTCTTTCTGGAAGTCCTCAGAGACAGAAGCTGTGAAAATCAAGAGATAACAGCAATATTGTCCTGCTTACAAGAAGGAACAGTGCCTGGGACTGGGAGCTCTGACCACAGGGCTGGTTTTTCCTGATTACCCACATTCAGGAAGCTCTTCCTAGCTCTGAATACCCCATAATATGAGAAAAATAGTAGATGATTTAACGTGCAATGAAACCAGACACTGAACTATGTCCAGTAGGGGAATCAGTCAGAATTCTGGAGAAATTCCAGCACTTGTATGCAGTCTGAGTTTCAAAGAATGAACTTTTCTGCACCACTGACCACTTGTCTCCACCACCTGCATGGGACCAGGGTGTATAGATCCAGCACAAGACAAGCACTCAGTGATTATGTGAGCAAGAGTAACTCATCAGATCTGGCCTGCTTTTCTCTGCAGCAGGATGTGCCATAGACTAGGTGAGGGCACAGCCGTGTGCTTAGCTGAAGGATAAAAGAACAAATTCCCTTCATGATTCTATGCTCAGTGTCCTTGTTTCCCTGTTCAAGTGAAAAACAACTGAAATGGCAAAGTGAGGAGTCAAGATGTGTCCCCAGTACTCGAGTGTGGCCTCAGTAGTGGCAAGGAGAGAGGAGCCATCACCTCCCTCAGCTGCGGGCAGCATTTTGCCGAGGGCAGCCCCGGATCCCAGTGACCTTCTGTGCTACGAGGGCGAATTTCTGGGCTCGTTGCCCACGGGTTCCTTTGGCACAGGCGCTGTCCAAGCGCGCAGCGATGCTTTGCGCGCGCGGCCCGGCCGCGGCGGGCGCTGCTCCCGCCCGGCGGGGCCGCTCCTCTGTGCTGCTCATGGTTAAATAATGAAATCCTCCCACAACCCAGCCAGCATGAAATTTGCTATTTTGGAAAATACCAGTGAAGAAAAAAGCTACTAAAACTTTGAAATACCTAAGCAACCAACAGCACTGCAGTCCATGAGGCAAGAGATTCTGTATATTTAATATGGTGCCTTGAGATCATCAGATAATGAAAACTGATTGAAGACAAAAATGAAGATGATGATCATGATGAGCCCTCTGGATTGGGCTCACTGTTTGGTAGAGTTGGAAACTCAAAGGCAAGTTGGTTTAGGCATCCCAGAGCCCAAGTAGAACTCAGCTTAGCCTATTCTGTGAGGAGAACCCCCAGAGCCATGGTGGTCCTGTTGCTCACAAGAAGTTTTCCCACCAGGAAACGTTACCTGCAGTACACTGGGCATCACCATACTGCTGGGACCTGAGGGACACCTTCTTGTGTCCTGGCTAGAGCAACAGAAAAAGAGACCCTGGAAATTTGACTGGTTTCTCTTTATCAACCCTCAGCATTTATGTTCACAAGTCAGGTGAATGCAAAAGGAGTAACAGGACTCTGACTGCAGCATAGCATGGGGTGAAGGTGAGTCAGGCAGGGGCAACAAGGATACAGGCAGGAAAATATGGAGAAAGTTGGGGGTTGCAAATTCACAGCAGTTCTGATTTGCAGACTCTAATGTTTCTGGGATTATTTCCCACCCTTGGAAGGATGACAAGGAGTCTTTGCTCCTGAGAGCTTAAGCAGGTCTGTAAAGCCCCAGCATCTCCCTACCACCATGTCCCACTGCCGCACTGCTGTTTCCCCCAAGTGGAAGTCACAGCGGACATAGCGCTAGTCGTCCACAGGACAGCCCTACAGCCCAGCAGGAAATACGGGCAAGATTTGGTCGCACGACGCGGGAAGAACGATCCAGGGCTTGGGGGGTGCAGCGGGGACTTCTGCGGTGTGGAGGGAAGAGGTGTAGGACAAGGGGGTAGGACTGGAGGGAGTCGTTTCCACACTTTGCCCACAAGCAACCCCGGGGCCCGGGGCGGGTGTGTCGGGGCGGGCAGAGGGGCCGGCGCTGCCCCGGCGAGGCGGGGCCGGGCGGGAGCGGCCCGAGCGCGGCTCCGCTCGGCTCCCGTGCGGCTGCAGCGGGGCCGGGGCCGGCAGCGATGGTGGCCGCGCCGGGTCCGGGGCTGCTGGCCTTGGCCTTGGGTTTGTGGCCGGCAGGTGAGAGCCGGGCGGCCAGGGCAGCGAGCCCGGCCCGGGGCAACGAGGGACAGCGACAGGCAGGAGCAGGGACAGGGGGGGAAGCAGGAGCGGGGAACACGGGCAGATTCAGATAGGGACAGGAGGTTTTGTCACCGTGCGGCGGCCGGGGCAGGCACAGGGACACCGGGACAGCGCCCTCGGTCCGCGGTCGGCCCTGCCCGATCGCTGCGCTCTCCCTCCGCAGGGCTCTGGGCACAGCCGAGGCTGCAGGAGGCCGGCGGAGGGCTGCGAGCGCCCGGGGACTCCGTCACCCTCTCCTGCCACGGCTCTGGCCTCACCTTCGAGAATCGTTTTATACGATGGTACCGTCAGTCACCCGGAGGAAGCCTCGCGTGGTTGTCCGTTATTGGCTCTGATCCGACAGTTCTTTATTTTGACCAGTCAGTGGAGGGGCGGGCCAAGATTTCCCGGGACAATTCCCGGTCCGATACTTATCTCTCCCTGCTGACCCTGCAGCCCCGCGACTCGCGGTCGGCCCTGCCCGATCGCTGCGCTCTCCCTCCGCAGGGCTCTGGGCACAGCCGAGGCTGCAGGAGGCCGGCGGAGGGCTGCGAGCGCCCGGGGACTCCGTCACCCTCTCCTGCCACGGCTCTGGCCTCACCTTCGAGAATCATTATATTCGGTGGTACCGTCAGGCACCCAGAGGTAGTTTTGAATGGGTGTCCTGGATAAGCCATTACTCATCACAGATTCAGTTTGGGTCAGCAGTTGAAGGTCGAGCCACAGCCTCCAGGGACAATTCCCACTCTGTGGCATCTCTCAGCCTGCATCTCCTCCGTGCCGAGGATACTGCCTGCTACTTCTGTGCTGTTCGCACAGAGACATAAAATCCAGCTGAGGTTGAACAGAAACCACCTGTCAGCATCCCAGCTCTCTGCCTTGGAGCTGGAAGGGGCCTTGTTGCCCAGATGTTCCGGGTTGCTGTAGACACAGCACAGAGTTTTCAAATGTGTGATTCTAATAGGGACATCCTACCTTTTGCTCTCCCCAAATGAGCTTAACCTTTATGTTTATCTTCTTTGCATGTGTCATGCCAACTCATTTCTTGCTCCCCCAAACTGCTTCAGCTTTGAAACAATTTTCCTGTTTCCCCTGGTTTCCAATATTACAGGTATCCAGTCCAAACGGTCAGGTGTGTGAATAGTCCTGCTGTGGTTTTGGGCACAGCTCATGTCCACTCGTCCAGCCCATGGGTTTTGCTGCCTGAGGCGTGAGCAGAGGAAATGGGGAATTCTAGACAGTCATTTGGGAGCTCAGTGGGAGAATGGGGAAGGCTGTGTGTGTCTCTCCCAGATCTGAGGTTCTACAGGGAGCAAGAGCCTTTGAGCAGATGGATTTGTGGCTGCTGGTTCCTCAACATCACAAGCAGAACCATGGGGACATGGTGGAGCAGATTGATTCCTTTAACTGTTGCTTTTTGTTTACCCTTGTCTCCTGGGGCTGCAGGTGGCCTTTCTCAGGTGAAGACAGAAGCCTCAGGCCCTACAGTAGGGAAGATCTCGGAGTCTGTCTGGCTCACTTGTCACATCTCTGGTGTAGCCATCACCGATAGCAACTACGCATGGGACTGGATCCGGCAGACTCCTGGCAAAGAGCTGCAGCATCTGGTGATGCAGTATCCTTTCACAGGACTCCAGCACATCGCTTCATCCTTCCGGACCCGAGTCAACAGCTCTGCAGACCCCTCCCAGAACCAGCTGTGGCTGCAACTGCTCTCTCCAGCAGCTACAGACACAGCCACCTATTTCTGCAGCATGAGAGAACTTGAAAAGGGCACAGTGCTTGAAACACAGGCAGGGCCAGGGCAGAATTGGAAGGAGGGGCTTTAATCTAGACAGATCTTTTGTGGTTGCTGCAAGGCAAGGCTCTTCCCAGACTTCTCAAGACTAATCTGGGCTGTCTTTTGCAGAACAGATGCAGAGGTGCTACAGCAATAACAATAGCAGTCTCTCACAAGCAAACACCAAACCATTAACGTGTTGTTAACTCCTTCCTTCCTTCTCAAAATCTCCCACAGGCAGAAAGAACCAGGGAAAGAGGGTGGGGTTGTTTCTTTTGTTTTGTGTTTTGTTTGGTTTTTTAAAGAATGTGATTGTTTTTGTTTGAGTAAGGTTAATTTTCTTCATAGTAGCAGGAATGGACTGTGTTTTGAATCTGTCCTGGAAAGAGTGTTGGTAATTCAGGGGTGTTTGAGTTATTGCTGATCAGTGCTTACATGGAGAGAAGGCCTCTTCTGCTCCTCATTCCACCCACCAGTGAGTAGCTGAGGGTACACAAAATTTGGGAGGGAACACAGCTGGTTCAGCTCTGGCTGTCAAGGATTTATGATACAGAAGTTGAATATCATGAAGGATTTGATCAATGTACAACATCTCCTTTACTCTTTGATCCTCACTCCCAAGGTTTCAGTGCCTCTACACAACAAAGAATAATCAGTTTGTCTACTTTCTCCTCTTACGCAAAACACCATGAAGACTTTCTAAGGTACTAAATGACCCCAGGAACCAATTCTAAGAGACCAGAGGGCACATTCCTCCTGCTTTCTAGCCTGAAACAAAGGGGAAAAAGGAGACAACTTCCAACAAGTGGCAATTATCAGAAATGCTTTGATATAGCATGAACAGTACTGATTCTTTTCTTGCTTTTTATCCAGCTTAACTCACTCAGACTTTTCAGAGGTGTCATGTAATCCCCAAGTTCTCATTTACAACTCAACCTTTCTGATATTATCTTAGATCCTTCCTTGAAAGCCATATGGTGTTTTTTCATGTGGTACGTTGGGTCTTAAACCATGGAGGAGGTCATGTGACTGTCTCTAAAATCCAATATTCTGTCTAGTGGAACAGAGACAGTTTTTACAAGGAAATAGATCACTGTGTACAGGGGCCGGAGTACCACAATGATATAAACAGCACAGGGGCCTGTACAAAAACAAAAAGAGGGGAAAAAGGTGAGATATTTTGGGAAAGAAAGGAGATGGGTGACTATAATCATTAAAGAGACAAATAGAACATTCTTTCTATAATGCCTTTTACCATGGAAAGATAAAAAGTCCAAGTGGATTCTAAAAGGTGGAAGAAAGGGAGAACTTGAAAATTCTACACTCAATCAAGCTGTTTGAAAGCACTTGAACAATTAAATTAATATTTTATCCTTTTTCAGTTTTGGAAGTAAGTGTACCTCTGGATCATCTCATAGACTTGCACCCATGGATAATTAGAAAAAATATCTGGCTTTCCGTCTCTTGGTTTACAACACAAATTTAACACCATGAGGAAAGAGTGAGTTATTGGAATAAGTCTTAGCAGTGTGAGGACAGATAAGTGTATATTTGCACCAGGGATGACTCTCACAGTTCTACCAAGTAAGTGACATTTCTATATATCTAAAACTCTATTTAAAATTGAGGTGTAGGTGAACAAAGAAGTTTAATGGTTTGGGTTCACTGAAAGGATTTTCAGCTGCAATAATCCCTTGAATACACTCCCTCTCCAGCCAGGCTTTCAAGCCAAATGCTCAGCTTGGATCGTTTCCCAGGAACAACTGGGCTGACTCTGCATAGCACCATTATTCCATGATCCCCAAACACCAGCAGGGCACTGCTTAGCCTGTGATAACTTATTCCCACTTTGGGCAGCACTCTGGCCCAAATTTACTGTCCAGTGCCCAATTCTCCAGTGGACTTGCACTGGCTGACTTGGGGCAGGAATGCAGAGCTCAGTGAAGAGCTCCCAGTGGTGAGGAGTTTTGAGACAGATCTGTAACTGCCTGCTTGGAGAAGTTCTGGTTTGACACTGGCACCACACTGACAGTGTCCCCAGCTAAGGAATTCCACTGCCCTGGGGACAGAGCAGGAAGGAGGTGAAATAGCCTTGGGCATAAATTCTCACAAGTGCCTTATATCCAAGAGCTCCTGGAATTAAAGACAATTGGCTGCCAAGTTGTGTGGAACGTTAAAAGAGCAATGTGGGGAGTAGGGATTATAAGAAGCCTTAGTTATTCCTATCTTTATTTGGAATTCCGTGATGAACAATAAAGATGCTTGTCACCCCAAGCGAACTTATCACTCTGAAGAAAGACCTCTTCTGTCCATGCTGTTCAACGATTTTCTTTTTCTAGATAAATACAGGATATATTCAGAGCTGCACAGCGATTCTGGTATTATGTTTGATGGTAAAAGATGTTGGGCCCTAAGTATCAAAGTCCCTTTTGAGACTGCTGGAATACTCAATAAGTTGAATCCAAAGTTTCCAGGATGTGAGCAACCTCCCACTTTTGATTTTGAATTGCTTTGGGAGCTACTAAAATGCATTTTAAGGTGTTCACAGCACAAGTACTTTATTATCCAAATCTTTTGAGAATTCCCCATAATCAAAATGACATAAGATAGCAAGCATTAGTGCCACAGGACACTCCAGGCATATTCTGTTGAGGCCTCAGTTAAGGACAGAGAAGGCTTTCCTTTTGGTTCAGGTTGGATTATTCCAGATTAAACATTCACAGAGAATGATAAGGCCCATTACTTTCTGGAATAGGGTGCTCCTCCTTTGACTTTGTAAGATGAAAGTGAAGGAGAAGTACAATTTTTTGTTCAAATAAATTTTCAGAACATAAAAGACTAATCCCTTCCAGAAGCAAGTGCTAGGAATTAATGGTTGTTTTATCTGGTAATGCAAACTAGTGGGACTCGGGGTGAGCCTTCAGGGGTCAGATAAAACAAATCTTCTGCTCTCTGAACTACAATTGCACTGGGTACATTATTGCTTGCTGAAGATCTTGCCCAGGGAGCTATTGCAGAGAAGCAGCCTGTTTGTATTCTGGCTGTTGCGAAAGCCTGGAGAGGAGACCACATGAAAAGCCTTTCAAGGTTTTCTCAGAGAACACAGAATGCACAGGATTCACAGGCTCTGGCCAAGCCTGGTACAACAGCTGGGAAGGAAATGTGCAGAGGAAGAACAGCAAAATGAGCCCTTTTTGATTTATGCATTTTAACTGTGTGTTACTGCTGCTCTTGTTTTTGGGAATGGAACTCAACTGACCGTGGAGCCAAGTAGGTACCCTTTATGCATTACCATTTTCTGAGTTGCTACTCTTTCGTTTTCCCCCTTTGCAAATATTCCCCCTAAAATCTATGCAGACACTCATGTTTTTCAGTCACTAATTTCACTTTCTTTGTGTAATCTTTTGCATGCAACTAGACAATTTATATGTAAAAATATTCTTATCCCACTTCTCAGTGTTGCCAAAGAACTTGAACTCCACAAGGGATGTTCTGTCTGCTATCATTCTGAATTTCTTTGGGACATATATCTATCCACTTATTCAGGATTCTTAATAAGATGTTCATAGTCATTGTTGGTTTTTAAAGTCACACTTGGACTGCCTAAAGGGAAATAAAGTGTCTGTGCAAGTTGGCATACAAGTTCCTAAGACTATCTGTTGTGTCAGAGTTAAAATACAACACTGATAGCAGAGAAGGGTAATGGACAAAAGCATAAAATGTAATCTTGTGCAACCTTTCTGTACTAGTTTAATCTTACTAAGTTGTTCAGAATTTGGATTCAACTGAACTGGTCAAACCAAGTTAATGTGTTCAATTTCTGTTGGGTGTCTGGGAGGGAGAGTAAAATAAAAAACAGTATTCATTTATGTCTTATGAATATGCAAGGCAATCCAGATAGAATTGTTCTGTTTTGGAATTAAATTGCTGAGAAAGCAGAACAAGTGGACTCTTGGAGTGGCATTCATAAAAGCTCCCTTCTTGTTAGTAGGTATTTATATTATAAAATTATAAAATCAGGGTTCATTTACAAGCACGAGCTTTGGCAAAAGGAAGTTGGGATCCTATGGGATTAAATGTCCTGTTAAATATGCCCGCATACCCATTTCTGTCTTTAATTTGACCTTTTGGAAGAAGCAGAAAGAAACAAAGACCACAAAAAGTGATCGTTAATGTAATAAATTAGTCACAGATGGAGTACATGTGAGTTTTTGGTCACTCAGCTGACAGACAAGGCTGCAGTAAAATCAATCCTGTTGCTTTTCTTTACAGACATTTCAAAATCTTCTGACCCTCAAGTGATTGTGATGAAATCAAAGAAACTGGAAGAAGGCAACAGCGCTGGGAAAGCAGCTTGTTTGGCAAGGAACTCCCCAACAAAGAACATCAGCTTGGAGATGCCCTCTCAGGAGGTCATCTATGAACAGAGCACATCCATTTTGACATCCAAGGGGTTGTACAATGCAATTAAAGTGGCCAGGGTGACAACAGACATGGAGGTGACCTGCACGGCCAAATTCGACAACCGCGTGATAACAGCACAGCCAGGTACAGTTTGGTGGCACAGCTGTCACTTATTTCTGGAGACAGTGGCCTGTGGGCTTTGTGTTCTCCTTCTGGACAGCACTGCCCTGGGCAGCCAGGAGAAATAAGAAATTTGGGATTTCAGCAGGGAGAGCTGAAAGATGTTTCAAAGCAGTGAAAAGAAATGGTTTCAACTATTTAATTCCTTTCAGATTCTTTTTTGGGGAGAAGAGAGAAGACATGATCTATTTGTTCAAAATGTGAATTTCCTTGTGATTGAGTATTTTAGCCTATAGCAGCAAACCTGTTGCAGCACAAGCTGGAACAGCCTTTCTAAAACCTAGAAAAAGTTAAAGGTGGGGTGTGTTGTGAGGTTTTTTTACTAAATATGTTTTCTATTTTGTGCCATTTTATTTGTAGTCCTGAATGTCTTTCATACAGTAAAACTAAAACAAAGCAGGACTTCTTCTGTTTCCAGCAACTGCACGGAGAAATTGGCTCCTCAAATTAATGTTGGAGTTAATGACTGATCATCTGAGCTCCAACTTTCCTTAAGTTCCTAGAGGAAATGCCTAGGAAATTTTTTTATAAATCCCATATAAAAGGTGGATATAGTTCAAAATGTGCTTTCTTTCTCATGCTACAGAGGAGGAGGCTGAAGAACCCGTAACAGGGGGCAGTGACAGGGTTTGCAACAGCACAGCCCCCTCAGCACAAGGTGAGTTACCCCAACAGGATGTGAAGTTACATTGCTCTCTGGGGGATAGAGGCATGGAAATCTATTTTCTCCAGGGCAGAGGACTCAGAACACAACACATTCAGCACACACAAACTGCTGTTCCAAGGATGCTCCTGCACTTACACACAAGCCCCAGGAAGCAAAAAGCAACAGGGACAGACCCTGGGCTCCCATGTTGTTGCCATGTTCTCTCTTGGCTGTTCCTTTGCTGCCCTTCCTCTCCCTGAAACTGTCACCTGAGGATTTCCCACTTTCTGCCAAGATCACAACACCAAAGCCTAGACCATGATCTCTCCCCTCTTTTCTGGTCACTGAGCAGACCCTGAAGAGCAGAGAGTGAACATGCTGTCCATGGCTGTGCTGGGTTTGAGAGTCCTGCTGGCAAAGAGCATCGCCTTCAACGCCCTCATGAGTATCAAGTTGTTTCTTTTCTCAGGTAAAAAAGCTCACAGCTATCAAACACTTATTCAGGGGTACAATTTCATTAAATGTACTTCAAATTTCTCTTTTCTCTTCCAGACATGGGGAATGAACCCAAAGAAGAGCAGGAAAGAATGTGAACCAGCAGCACAAGGGGGTGGATCAAGCAGGGGCAGAGCTGCAGACAGACACCACTCAGGACACAAGGCAGCACCTTCCCCTGAAGACACTGAATACTGTTCACTCCTGCCTGGCCAGCTGATTTGCACTGAAGAGTTTCAAGTGCTTTTGATGTTTCCTCTCCTCTGACAACTGAGGAGAGTGGATTTATCCTCATCCTCCTGCTAAGTAGATCTCCCCACTCTTCTGGCATTTGCACACAGTCATCCAACCTGCTTCAACAGCTTTGGAAACTGCAGTGCTCACTCTAGATAGATGGCCTTTTAAAAGCACCTTTCCCAGGCATGCTGTGTTTCTGCCTGTGGAACTGGAGTAGCACTGCTGAGTGAATTCAAGCCCAGTAGCTGCCATTTGTAGATTTGGATTTAGATAGATTTAATAACAAAGAGTGTGTATTGCAATTAAGAAGCGCATGTAGAATCTGGAGTGATTTCATTCAACTAGATAATGTTCATTTCTTTATTAAGCCTGTATTTCCTCGGCCAAATATATTGCATATGAATTTTAGTTTCCTGTGGTAGTGACAAAAATAAAGAACTACTAGGACAAAATGCTGTAGGTTTTCTGTGATTTTTCTTCTGAAGCTGGAATGGAGATTGCTGAAATCCAGCTGTCCTAAAGCCCACTGGGATCAGAAACACAGCTTTAATAATGTAGATTTCCTGTTGGCTGAATTTGTCAGGACACAGCAAGAGGTGCTGTACTGAGCTTGCTCAGCTCAGACCCTCAGGCCTGCAGTGCTGGAACAGTCCATTGTAAAGAAACTTCAGTTCCTTTTCCCCTGGGCAAAGGTGAACAAAACCCCTAAGGTATATAAAGATATTTCAGCAGACATACAAAATCATCTCAGCAGACTGGCAGCAGCACAGAAGATACACAAAGATAATGACCAATAATGAAAATCACCTCCAAACATCAGCCCTGGCATGGTCAGAGACACGTGGTCTGGGAAAAGATCTAAAAGGGAATAAAGAATGAGAAACAAAATAACATTGAAGATGAAGTGATCAACTGGAAAGCAAATACTACTAACTGTGGAACTTGGGACCAATGGTCATCGAACCAATGAATTTCCCTGGGCTGTGAATGTGTAAGTACAAGAACACTTCAGTGAAAACTTTGTGTGATGGAAGGATTTTCTCTGCACAACCCACACAATGTGTGGATGAAATTATTTCTGTTGCACCTCCAGGCCAGAATAAAGTACTGCCTTGATTCTCTAACATGGAGTGTGGTATCTGACATCTGCCCTGCTGATCAAGTCAAAATGGTGAGAGCTCTCCCCAGTGGCAGACAACATTAAAAGCATCCTGAAAGAATAAACCTCTCTCCAAGAGGTTACATGGGAAAGCATTGTGAAGAACACCATAAGAATGGACAACAATAAATAGCTTTTTGTATCACAGAACCCTTCAGTTTTCTTATACCACATTAAAAATACAATGTAATAATCACATTCCTGCACCTGCTGGTCATAATCTGACCTATCTGGTTTTTGTCCCAAAATCCTATAAAACTCCTGATGAAATTAAATCTAACAGAAACAGAAACTCCTTAGGCATATGGTTAATTACCTCACTCTAAGGTGAGATCCCTTCCTTTCTTTCCCTTATATTTCAGTCAGCAGATATTGTCTGAACAAAAGTATTGGGAGCCTGATCTTCCCCTGTAAAACTATTCAGGACTGGGGAGTGCAGAGCTCCTGGGAATGTCTGTCTTTCCAAAGCACTCATTTGAAAATAGATATCCACCCTAAGATTTCTGTAGGGAGGGCATTAGTGGATTCCTGGCTATGCCAAAGCCTCCCACAACCACACAACTTCCTCTTTTGCGACCTGTATTGAAACATAACCTGCAAGGAGACAGACACACCTCAGCCTTCATTATGTGGGCACCGCCAACAGGCATTGTGCACACACAGTTTTATTTTGACGGCAAATAGAGTCTCTGGCCATGGGGTCCCACCTGCCAGGTGCACTATTAGATGATCCTTGGGACAGTATCTTTCTCTAACACTTGACAGGAGCCACCTCCAGAGGCTGAGAGTTTCTGTCCGCTTCCCAATCCCCTCCTTAGTGCCCACAGCCCTGCACAATATCATCATTGGGAGCTCATATGGGATCATACACAGGGTTAGGTCCCACAGCCACAGGAACAGCCCCAGCAACATTGGCACCTGCGGCTCCATACGTAATACAACTAATGCTGAGATCAGATTTGTCTCCAGCCCACTCTGCGCAGATCTGTTCTTAACTCAACCCTTCATGCCCCACACTGGATGCCAAATGAGGCTATTGTCGTTTAGGAATAGTATTTCCCAATTTAGTGTTCCCACTGAGCCACTCCAATCCAAACATAAGGTTCTTTCACAACAAAGTGTGAACATGGAGAGGGCTTAAAAGAAAGATGGGGAACACCCAGGGTGAGAGACACCCAGGAGAACACCAAGAGCTTCAAGTTCTGCTCCTCATGCCCCACCTCTCCCCCTCACTGTTCTCATAGGCAGAGGGAGGGACCAGCAGGAACTGGGCCTGAGAGCAGTGACAGAGGCCCAGGCAGGGCAGGTGTGGGCAGAGCTGCTGTGCAGGCACAGAGAAGCTGGAGAGAGGCCACGCAGAGCGGGCCTGGCCATGTGGAGTGCCCTGTGCGTGGGCTTCTTGCCCATTGTAGGTGAGTGAAGGCAAGGGCTGATGGCCCCAGGAGCTGAGCGTGGCCCTGGGCTCTGCAGGGCTCTGGGGAGCTGTGCTGAGCGCTTGCAGCCAGAGCTGTGCCCCGGCTGGAGCTGCCCAGCCATGCCTGTGGAGCACGGGGAGAGCAGCCCTGCTCCTCTTGTGCCTCTGAGCTCGGCACCTCCATCCCAGCTGCCTCCTCTGCAGCCCGGGCACACGCAGGGCACCTCCCAGCTGCACTCAGATCTCGGGGCCCAGCGCTTTGCCCTGGCACTGGACACTGCTCCTGGGGCACTGCGGCCCCTCTGGCACAGACCAGCTGGGGCATGGCAGCACAGGGCACAAGCCCCACTGCCTGGGACAGCCCTTTGTCTTTGCTGTGCTCACCCAGAGCAGGTTCACAGACAGCACAGTGGGTTCCTCACCATGCTGTCTTGGCAAGGACAAAGGAATTTGTCCCCCCATGGTGCAAATCCTTCCTGCTTCTTTGGGGAAATTCAGGAAAAGCTTCCTGTGTGACCGGGAGAAGGAGGGAGGGAAATGTGGTGTCTCCATCCTTGTGAGCCTTGCTAGCTGCCACCAGCTCTGCCCATCTGTGTCAGCTGGCTTCAAAGAGGAGGATTTTGTCCTCCCACAGATCCAGTGTCAGTCCAAAGCCCCACCAGCACTGCCCTGACCTTTGCTGGATCTTGGAGTGACTGTGCCTTGTTGTTGCTCTCTGTAGCAGTCACTGGCCAGGTGACCTTGGAGCAGCTCCCCAGGGAACAGACCGTGCGAGAGGGAAGTGCAGTCACCTTCCATTGCAGCATGAAGGGAGGTTCTGTGGGGAACTACTACATGTACTGGTACCGTCAGGGCCCACGGGGCATGGAATGGATTTCCACAGATGGTTATCAGTATGGAGAAGGTTTCCAAGATCGCTTTAAGGCAAGCGCGGTCAGCTCCGAGAACTTGTTTCCACTGCAGCTCCTGGCAGCAGAGCAAGGCGATGCAGCAACATATTACTGTGGAGCAAGAGTCACCCTGGAGCAGCTCTGCAGCACAATGAACCAAAAACCAGCAGATGGGGAAGACAGATCGCTCAGCATTTCTTTCTGGCAGCTGCTCCCCAGGGCTCTTGTCAGGCAATGGCAGGTGCAGGAAACATCCCTCTGGCTTGGGGGCACTAAAAGGCACTGCAGGGAGGGCTGCTAGAAGGGCTGGTACCATTGATGGTGCAGGAGGATCTGTCCTGGGAACTGCACAGGCTGCAGTTTGGGCAAGTGCAGGTTTAGTGCACGTTGCCTGGGCTCCTGTCCAGCACGGCCTCATTTCTCCTTGGTGGCTTGCTTTGGCTCCCAGCCCTTTTTCCACAGGGATTCTCAGCGAGGTTTTGGGAAGTTGGAATTTGGCTGAGACAAATTTACAGCCTTTGACAGTGACACAAGGGGTCTTGCTGGGAGAGGAGAGAGTGGATGTTGTGCATTCTTCATTCAGTTCCCTGGAAACCTTCTGGACAAAGCCTTTTATTATGGCCTAGAGAAGGGTTCACTGACATGAGTAGTGCACGGGTACACATTCCTCCTCCCAGCCTGTCCTTGTGGTCTGTGGGAAATGAAATTCCTGAAGGCTGATCTGGTTGCTGAAGCCTGAGGTGAATAAAGCATTCAGGACCTCAGCCATGTCCCATATCCTCTGTCACATGCTCCCCATCCCATTCAGCAGTGGGCCCACCTTCTCCCAGCCTCATTTGTCCATGCAGCCTCCTGGCATGTTGACCTGACTCCTTGCTCACTGGGGAGGAATCCTCTTCAGCTCAGCACTGCTGGGGCTGGGGACAGCTGTGTCCCCTGCTGAGCTCCCAAGCCTGGGAAGGACATGGACAGAGGGGAACAAATGCAGTGAAGGGCCAGGAACACAAGGGAGGGAACAGCTGACATATAAGGAGAGCCTGGAAGATCTGGGTTGGTTTAGCATGGAGAATAAAATGTAGAGGGGCATCTGACACTGTGTTGAAATCCCTGAAACTCTGTAAGTTCCATTCTTCAGGACATTCAGAACTGAACAGGACAAGACTGTGGGCACCTCCTGCCCCTGACCCCATCAGGCAGCTCAGTCCCACACAGCTGCTCACTCAGTCCCCTTCACTGCTATGGAGGAGAGAAACAAATGGGTGGAGTGAGAAAATGTGTGTTTTGACAGGAAGACAGTTGAACAATCATGGCAATACCAACACACAAAAACCAAACAACATCAAGAATTCCTGATGTTGCTCAGACTTGCCATTGGCAGAGAGGAGCAGCAAAGCTGGCTCCTCTTCTGCTCCCCTTTCCTGAAGCCCGTTCTGGCTCTCCAGAAAGAACAGCATTAGGTCTGATGACCACACAGAGCACAGAGCCTTTACGAGAGAGCTTGGCAGCCTGTACCTGTGTCTGCAGCTTTAGAGAACAACAAGACACCCTAATTCCTGACAGAACACACACCCCAAATACAGGAAAAAACAGAAATACAGAGAACAAACCCATTCTGAATAGCCCTCCTCCCTCCTCAGTGTGTCTGTCATTTGCCCAACACAAACTTTCTTTGTATCATTTGCAGGTTTCCCTGTTCTTTTTCAGCTTTGAAACTTGCGGCCTGAAGAGGACACAGGGTTGTCCTCAACACTCATGTAGCACAAGTTCTTTCTGGAAGTCCTCAGAGACAGAAGCTGCAACAAATCTAGCTCCAATATTCTCTTGCTTACAAGAAGGAACAGTGCCTGAGACTGGGAGCTCTGACCACACAATGCTGCTTTGTCCTGATCACCCACCTCCAGGCAGCTCTTCCCAGCTCAGAATACCTCATAACAAGAGAAAAACCAGAAGCCATGTTTTCCAATGAAACCAGGCACTGAATTATGTCCAGTAGGGGAATCAATCAGAATTTGGAGCAATTCCACACCCTGCATGGGGCCTGAGTTTCCAAGAATTAATTTTCCTGCACCACTGACCACTTGTCTCCACCACCTGCATGGGACCAGGGTGTATAGATCCAGCACAAGACAAGCACTCAGTGATTATGTGAGCAAGAGTAACTCATCAGATCTGGCCTGCTTTTCTCTGCAGCAGGATGTGCCATAGACTAGGTGAGGGCACAGCCGTGTGCTTAGCTGAAGGATAAAAGAATAAATTCTCTTCATGATTCTATGCTCAGCATCCTTGTGTCCAACCTCCGGTGAAAAACAACTGAAATAGCAAAGTGAGGAGTCAAGATACACCCCCAGTACTCGAGTGTCGCCTCAGAAGCGACGGGGAAAGAGGAGCCATCACCTCTCTCAGCTGCGGGCAGCATTTTGCCCAGAGCATTAGGTCTGATGACCACACAGAGCACAGAGCCTTTACGAGAGAGCTTGGCAGCCTGTACCTGTGTCTGCAGCTTTAGAGAACAACAAGACACCCTAATTCCTGACAGAACACACACCCCAAATACAGGAAAAAACAGAAATACAGAGAACAAACCCATTCTGAATAGCCCTCCTCCCTCCTCTGTGTGTCTGTCATTTGCCCAACACAAACTTTCTTTGTATCATTTGCAGGTTTCCCTGTTCTTTTTCAGCTTTGAAACTTGCGGCCTGAAGAGGACACAGGGTTGTCCTCAACACTCATGTAGCACAAGTTATTTCTGGAAGTCCTCAGAGACAAAAGCTGCAAAACATCTAGCTCCAATATTCTCTTGCTTACAAGAAGGAACAGTGCCTGAGACTGGGAGCTCTGACCACACAATGCTGCTTTGTCCTGATCACCCACCTCCAGGCAGCTCTTCCCAGCTCAGAATACCTCATAACAAGAGAAAAACCAGAAGCCATGTTTTCCAATGAAACCAGGCACTGAATTATGTCCAGTAGGGGAATCAATCAGAATTTGGAGCAATTCCACACCCTGCATGGGGCCTGAGTTTCCAAGAATTAATTTTCCTGCACCACTGACCACTTGTCTCCACCACCTGCATGGGACTAGGAGGTAGGGATCCAGCACAGAACAAGTACTCAGGGATTTTGTGTCAGCAAGAGTGACTCATCAGATCTGACCTGCTTTTTTTCTGCTGGAGGATATGCCATGGACTAGGGCACAGCCGTGTGCTTAGCTGAAGGATAAAAGAATAAATTCTCTTCATGATTCTATGCTCAGCATCCTTGTGTCCAACCTCCGGTGAAAAACAACTGAAATAGCAAAGTGAGGAGTCAAGATACACCCCCAGTACTCGAGTGTCGCCTCAGAAGCGACGGGGAAAGAGGAGCCATCACCTCTCTCAGCTGCGGGCAGCATTTTGCCCAGGGCAGCCCCGGATCCCAGTGACCTTCTGTGCTACGAGGGCGAATTTCTGGGCGCGTTGCCCACGGGTTCCTTTGGCAGCAGGCGCTGTCCAAGCGCGCAGCGATGCTTTGCGTGCGCGGCCCGGCCGCGGCGGGCGCTGCTCCCGCCCGGCGGGGCCGCGGCCTGTGTCGGGGCGGGCAGAGGGGCCGGCGCTGCCCCGGCGAGGCGGGGCCGGGCGGGAGCGGCCCGAGCGCGGCTCCGCTCGGCTCCCGTGCGGCTGCAGCGGGGCCGGGGCCGGCAGCGATGGTGGCCGCGCCGGGGCCGGGGCTGCTGGCATTGGCCTTGGCTTTGTGGCCGGCAGGTGAGAGCCGGGCGGCCAGGGCAGCGAGCCCGGCCAGGGACAGCGACAGGCAGGAGCACAGACAGGAGCACCAACAGGGACGGGGACAGGGTCGGAGGCTGGGGAAAGGCCAGGAGCAGAGGCAGGGCAGGGAACACGGGCAAAGGCCGGGGCAGACACAGGGACACGGGCCGTGGGCCGGGGCTGGCGGCTGTGGCTGTGCCGGCCCGGGGGCACCGGGACACCGGGACAGCGCCCTCGGTCCGCGGTCGGCCCCGCCCGATTGCTGCGCTCTCCCTCCGCAGGGCTCTGGGCACAGCCGAGGCTGCAGGAGGCCGGCGGAGGGCTGCGAGCGCCCGGGGACTCCGTCACCCTCTCCTGCCACGGCTCCGGATTCACCTTTAGGAATTATGGAATTTATTGGTACCGTCAGTCAAACGATGACCGGCTGCAGTGGGTGTCCGTTATTAGTTTTGATCCGACAGTTCTTTATTTTGACCAGTCAGTGGAGGGGCGGGCCAAGATGTCCCGGGACAATTCCCGGTCCGAGGCTTATCTCTCCCTGCTGACCCTGCAGCCCCGCGACTCTGCCCGCTACTTCTGCGCTATTCACACGGGGACAGGAAACCCAGCTGGGCTTTAACACAAACCAGCTCGGGTCTGGCTCAGCACCCACGAAATTTGGAGATGGTGAATTCCAAAGTGGTACAGGGCTGTTCCAAAGGAATCAGGTGCCATCCCCACGCAGCACCAGGGATCCTGGCCTTTCATCAAGAGCTCCCTTCCCAGCACTGAGGCTTTCCTTCTCCTGAGTCCCAATTGCAATGTTCTACTCTGTAGAGGAGGTTCAAGGTTTTTCTGTCATCCAGTCAGCCTGGTGACTGCCTGGCTCCAGTCCCACTCAGCCTTCCTTGGTCCCCTTCTTAAGTGGGACATGCAAAGCACCTGCAGAGTGCTCGGTTGCCTTTGCTGCTGGGCAGGGCTCCGGGAGGGCTTTGACGGGAAGAGGCAGCTGGAGAAGTGACATCACTGGGGAGCCAGCAGGGTGCAGGGCCACAGTGCAGGGAGCAGGGTGAGGAGCACTTTGGCTTAGGGGTGCTCTGGCCAAGCTGATTTGAGGTCCTGGGGTGTCCCATGTGGGAGAAGCAGCTCAGCAGAGCCAGGGCCAGGGGAAGGACAAGCCAACAGCCTCCCTGATCAGCTCCAAAAGGCCAGGATTGGCCCCACAGAATCACATCACCAGTAGCCCACCACAGCATTTCCTGCCCAACAAATGGTCTGTTTCTGCACCACACAGGGTGAGAGACACCCAGGAGGGCACCAAGAGCTTCAAGTTCTGCTCCTCATGCCCCACCTCTCCCCCTCACTGTCGTCATAGGCAGAGGGAGGGACCAGCAGGAACTGGGCCTGAGAGCAGTGACAGAGGCCCAGGCAGGGCAGGTGTGGGCAGAGCTGCTGTGCAGGCACAGAGAAGCTGGAGAGAGGCCACGCAGAGCGGGCCTGGCCATGTGGAGTGCCCTGTGCGTGGGCTTCTTGCCCATTGTAGGTGAGTGAAGGCAAGGGCTGATGGCCCCAGGAGCTGAGCGTGGCCCTGGGCTCTGCAGGGCTCTGGGGAGCTGTGCTGAGCGCTTGCAGCCAGAGCTGTGCCCCGGCTGGAGCTGCCCAGCCATGCCTGTGGAGCACGGGGAGAGCAGCCCTGCTCCTCTTGTGCCTCTGAGCTCGGCACCTCCATCCCAGCTGCCTCCTCTGCAGCCCGGGCACACGCAGGGCACCTCCCAGCTGCACTCAGATCTCGGGGCCCAGCGCTTTGCCCTGGCACTGGACACTGCTCCTGGGGCACTGCGGCCCCTCTGGCACAGACCAGCTGGGGCATGGCAGCACAGGGCACAAGCCCCACTGCCTGGGACAGCCCTTTGTCTTTGCTGTGCTCACCCAGAGCAGGTTCACAGACAGCACAGTGGGTTCCTCACCATGCTGTCTTGGCAAGGACAAAGGAATTTGTCCCCCCATGGTGCAAATCCTTCCTGCTTCTTTGGGGAAATTCAGGAAAAGCTTCCTGTCCAGCAGATGGGGAAGACAGATCGCTCAGCATTTCTTTCTGGCAGCTGCTCCCCAGGGCTCTTGTCAGGCAATGGCAGGTGCAGGAAACATCCCTCTGGCTTGGGGGCACTAAAAGGCACGGCAGGGAGGGCTGCTAGAAGGGCTGGTACCATTGATGGTGCAGGAGGATCTGTCCTGGGAACTGCACAGGCTGCAGTTTGGGCAAGTGCAGGTTTAGTGCACGTTGCCTGGGCTCCTGTCCAGCACAGCCTCATTTCTCCTCGGTGCCTTGGCTGCAGAGCCATGGGATGATGGGGATGTGTTGCTGGAGCTTCCAGAGGGCTGTGGTGGGTGCAGCCCAGCTGTTCAGGAAAGCCAGATCAGCATTGATCTGGCATTGCTCTACATTGATTGACATTGCTCTACAGGGTGGCTGCTACAGAGCACCTGACCAGGAAGAAGGAGTTGAGACAGTGTGGTGAGTTGACTTTGCTTGTCCTCCAGGGGCTCAGCAAGCTGCTGTCTCAGTGCCCCTACTCCTCAGTTAGACAGAGGGAAAATAATGCCGCTAAGGCTTGTGGGTTGAGATAAGGACATGGACATTTCGTAGGAGCGCTACAATGGGCAAATACGTGGACTGGGAGAAATTAATTTAATTTTTTTGTGAATCAAATCAGGGTAGGATAATGAGAAAAAAATGGACACATCTAAAAACCTCTCGTCTACCCAGTCATTGCACAGAAATGGGGAATGCAACCATCAGTTCATAAACCATTTTCTCTGCCACTTCTTCCTTCTCATGCACTTCTCCAGAGTGTGGAGTCCATGCCAGACGAGACATTTCTCTAAGAATTTTTCAACTTTCTTTTTTTTTTTTTGCATTGACTACAGTTCTTCTTAAATTCCTCCAGTGTAGGTCTGTAGTTCACCTTGCAGTCCCTCAGGAATAGACTTCTTCAGTGTGGATCCCTGCAGGTTCTCCCAGAGAAGCTGCTATGACATGGGCTACTTTTTCCATGAGACCACAGTTCCTGTCAGAAACCGGCTCCAGCATGAGCTCTACATGGAGTCCCAGACCTGTTCAGGACATATTCAGTTGCTTCTGTGTGGGGAACACTTTGGGATGTAGGGTCAGTATCTGCTCTACCATCACCTGACATCACCTGCACTATCCTGGTCTTCACGGTGCATAACAAGGAGAATGTCTGCTCTGGCACCTGGAGCACCTCCCAGTCCTCCTTTCTCATGGACACTCAGCAAGGCTTTGGGAAGTGGGAATCTTGAGTAGCCACGTTTACATTGTTCTACAGCGAGACAAAGAGTCTTGGTGGATAAGAAGAAGGTGGATGTTGTGCATTCTTCATTCAGTTGTGCTCACAGCAGTGACTTCTCTGGACTTTTTGGACAAAATTCTTTGTTATGGATTAGGGAACAGCTCAGTTACATGTTTTTTTCAGGAATAGATATTGTGTGCTCCATCCTCTGCTCGTGGTCTGAGGGAAATGAAACACCTGAAGGCTGATCTGGCTGCTGAAGCCTGAGGTGAATAAAGCATTCAGGACCTCAGCCATGTCCCATATCCTCGGTCACCTGGTCTCCATCCCATTCATCAGTGGGCCCACCTTCTCCCAGGCTCGTTTGTCCGTGCAGCCTCCTGGCATGTTGACCTGACTCCTTGCTCACTGGGGAGGAATCCTCTTCAGCTCAGCACTGCTGGGGCTGGGGACAGCTGTGTCCCCTGCTGAGCTCCCAAGCCTGGGAAGGACATGGACAGAGGGGAACAAATGCAGTGAAGGGCCAGGAACACAAGGGAGGGAATAGCTGACATATAAAGAGAGCCTGAGAGATCTGGTTGCATGTAGTACAGGCAAGAAATTGGTGACAGGGAAATTTGTCACATGACTGGCCCTTGCAGTACCCCAGCACTGGCCTTTGGTTTCTGCAAGGCAGAAATAAAGAGCACCTACTCATCATTTCCCAATTGATTTTCCTCCCATCTGCTCTGCCCAGGATTGCCTCCTACATCAACAAGCCATGGCCAGAAACAGACTTGTCATGCTCCAGGAAGCAGCCAATAGACCGGTCAAATAAGAATACTTGTTCTTCCTTACTTTTCCAAGGCCATGTGTTTAGCTAAATTATTGAAAAGAAACTTCTCTTGGTAATATTGCTCTAAGCATCCTCCTCTAGCAAGGAACTTACAGAATTGCAAAGGAAGTTTTCTCCTCTGCCTGAGGCAAATATCTCCTGCAGGGATGGGAACGCACCTGTGAGCGAGTCTTTATACAACCACAGAAGGTGAAATTGAAAAATGCTGCTTTTAAATGAAGAAGGCTTAAAACATTATGGGGAAAGACTTTTTACTATAGGCTGTAGTGATGCAGCAAGGGGCAATAGTTTTACACAAAGAGAGGATAGATTCAGACAAGATACAATGAAGAATGTTTTTTTTATCCCACAGGAATAGCCGGTCCTGGTGCCCCTCCAAATGGCAAAAGGAGCTGTAGTAGGAATCTGAGAAGGAGCAGCTGGAAGGGCAGAGATGAACACACCCAGAGTGGCAAACAGTAGCAAAAACTCCAGAGATGTGCCAAGAGCTGCATGATGTCAGGCAGACATGGGGTGTGGAGTTAAAGTGTAGAAGAAATCCCTGAAGCAGTGGTAGAAAGCCAGCGGGGCTGGGCAGCGGCAGCCAGGACCCCACAAACAGCCAGGAGATGCTCCCTCCGGAGGGGCTAAGGGGTCTGGGTCCCAGGTGTCCCCTGAGGCACCTGAACTGATGGTGAGTGTCTCTCCCTGAGAGATGGGTTGTGAGAGAGGTACCAGTTCAATGACCGCCCTTACAAGCAAGGCTCAGCCACAGTAGGAGCAGTGAAGGACAGAAGTCCGTGGTGGCAGTGAATTCTCCCCGCAGCAGCAGCCCAGCACCAAGACTATGACCACCTCCAATCCCCAGAGCGAGTGCCAGCGAGGAGCTGAGCCCAGCTCCTTGAATTCACCCCCAGCCAAAATCTCATCTCTGCAATTCCCAAGAGAATGCCCCCAAGCTAAGAGGGGAGCCAACTGCACCCTTCCCCCTCCTCAACATCCCAGTCACATGCTTTCTCTCTAAAAGTATCCATCCTTATAATCTCTCAGGCAATAAAAGGGAGAAATATTCCCTGAGACAGAGGAAAAATCCTAACCTGGACCACCTGTTAAAGCTGAAAACATTCCTGATTATTGCAGGAGGATTAGGAAAATGTTCCACAATTGCAGGCTACCACTAATTATATGATTAAGATACCAATCAAATTAAAAGCCAACTTCAGTCAACTATAACAACAGCAAATAGAGTCAATTAAAGCACCATAGCTGGACCAAAATAAATCCTGAACTATTCTTAAACATGGACTGATTTTTCCTCTGGCATGCAAATAGGCTTTGAGGAGAGTAATGCTTGAAGGTCTAGAAGACTTAGAAAATATAGAAGGAAAATAACTTGAAAATTTATAAGCTTGAGAGATGCTCCCCAGAAAATTTTTCAAGTATTTAACCCAAACTCTCTTGTGTGTTAAAAGACAAACCAGTAAACAGATCCTTTCTGTGAGACACTTCTAACAACAATATTCCTTTCCAAAGTGTTCTGGCAATGTTTTAGTGACTAATGGTCCATTCTGCCAAAAACACTAACTGTCCAATCTGTCAAAAAAAGCAAGGATGATAATGATATTTTTATTTTAGGAATCCTCTGCAAGAGTGTTAAGATGTTTAGAAGTGGAGCAGTGTAGAGGGACAGGAAAACAAAAGGCAGCACTACAAAGACATGAAAGAGGAGACATCACCTGACAATGACAAAACCCACAAATGTTTTTGTAGAACTGTCTAGCACAGTGTGAACTACATACCACAGTGACTGAAAACAACTGAACCACCACACACAAACTGTCTCCCTCCCTTCTCTTGAAGGAGGAAACACGGTGGCTTTACCTCATCTATTTTTCCTCAGACAACTGTGTGCACATACACAAATTTGATTCCCAAAATTACTCAAAAAGCAGACCACCTCACCTATTTTTTCCAAGACCAATTTCTTCACCATTCAACCTGAGATCTTGTCTCTTGCAAACAGGTCATTTTAGACAATTGATAACTCAGCTCCAGTTGACCAAGTGAGCAGGAACCTTCTGTACTTATATGTTTCCATTTTATCTCAGCATTATGTTATTCTCTTTTTCTGAGAGCACAGAGAAGAACAAGGATCCTTTTAATTTCAGATCCAACAATGGCCAGAAGCAGATGCAGATGTTCTTCAAGACCTGGAGACCAGAAATGGCACTTCCCACTAAGAATCTCTCAGCTATAGGCATCAGAACAAGGTCTTGGAATCACTTATGGTTACTTTGTATTTACCCTTTATGAATTTATTCAGGAGCTCTTTGTTCATCATTTTGGACTTCTGTCACAATGCACGACATAGTTCTTTGTCAAGGGAAAGCATTCTTGAGGTTCAAGGAGGTAATCTCTGAACATGAGCAGCTCTCCTAGACCCCTCCTGTGTCCAGGACCATAGCCCATGGGATTCCTCCCAGAAGATCCCAGATTCTGCTCTCCTGAAGCCCAGGGCTCCAGTCCTGTTCTTGCATTGCTCTCATCTCCCTGGATCCTGAGCTCAAGCAGTGCATGGTCTCTGCGGCCAAGGCTGCCCCAACCACCTCACATCCAGCACGAATTCTTCCTCAGTGGCACACAGAGGTCCAGTTCACCAACCACTTGTGTCAGCAAGTATGCATCAGTACATGCCAGAAAACTGCTGACTCTGTGTGTGCCCAGCTGTGCTGTCCTGCCATCAGACACCTGACACACTTCAAGCACCCCATGAGGACTGGAGCCCAGTGATGTCTCCATTCGTCCCAAGAAAACCTCACCTGTTTCTTCCCATTCCTCTCATATTTTCTACCCATATTTCTTTCTTGGGAATGGCTTAAATTCCCTATCCATTCATGTTTTTGTTTTTGTTTTGTGTTCAGAATGGCCATTGCCTCCCCTGGCTCAGGGAGTGTTGTGATGGGTGAGGGGCAGCGGGTTTCCCCTGAGAGTTGTGGGCCAGGGGCTGCTGCTTCCTTCCAGAGGGGCTGCTCAACTCAGGAGCCACACGGCAAGGGCTTGTGACTGGAGACACTGTTGCTCTGTGCTTTTTGCCTGTTTTTCTTTTTTTTCTTTCCCTTTGGCACTGTGAGTAGGGCTTGCCAGTTTCTTTCTCTGCTCCTTTGCTGACTGGGAGCCCAGAGCCAGTGCGTGCTGCACCAGGAAGAGATGCAAGGAGCACACTGGGCCATGCCCTCTGCGCGGCGGCCTGACCCCAGGATCAGCCATCACTGGTGAGCTGTCCAAAGGAGCAATCCCCTGCCCAGCCCTGCTGTTATCTGCCCCTGCTTCAGGGATTTTTTTCTACACTATAACTTGACACCTCTTGTCTGCCCAGACACCCAGGGTTCCTGCCACAGTTTCAGAGATTCTCCTACACTTGCTTCACCACGATGAGTGCTTTCACTTTGCCATTACAGCCTGCTGCTCCAAGGTTCCTGCTAGAGCTGGTTTCCCTATCCAGAGGGGCACCGGGACCAGCTGCTCTTGTGGGATTGTAAAGGGAGCCCCTTCTCCATCTCTCCTGCCTGCCCACCCACTATTACTCACATGCAGAGAGGTGGCCGAGCCCTGCCACAGCGCCCTCTGCTGGAGCGGGGGAATCATCGCACCCGCCCTCCCTGGCTGGGAGCCAGCAGCGCCCCTGCTGGCTGTGACCGGAACTGCACCAAAGGGGAACGCCTGCGGCCCAGAGAGGCTGGGACCGCATGTCTGGTTCTGTTTGATGCTGCCAGTGTTGTTTGTTTGCCTTGTACATACACATACTGTTAATGAACTGTTATTTCTTTCCCCATATCTTTGCCTGAAAGCCCCTTTATTTCAAAGTTATAACAATTTGGAGAGAAGGGGATCGCACTCTCCATTCCAAGGGTGGTTCCTGCCTTCCTTGGCAGGCACCTCTCTTTCAGACTAGGACAGACACCATCACTGTGTGAGGCAGCACAGGCAGCAGATAGAGCAGCCACAGACTCACACAGAGTACATTTATTTCCATGACCTTGCTAACCTGGGGGAATCCCTGTGCAACAGCCAGGCAGAGGCAAGGAGAGACACTGGCATCTAAACTTTGTCCATACTAGAGGACACCTGGATGCAGTTCATCCTGGGCTATCAAGGGTAATTCCCAGCTGGAAGGTCACTTAAGCAATTTACAGCCCTCCTGCGTTTTCAGCTTTTAATCCATTCCTCCCAACACCCCCAGAGCCAGCCTGCTACGTCTCAGGACTCCTGTCATACTACCACTATTACCCACAAGAAGAGAAGCAGAGGGATTTGACTGCATTGTAAGAAATGCTCTGAAATAACACCAGAAGTACTGATTGTTTTTCTGCTTTCTTTCCAGCTTAACTCCATCAAACTTTTACATGACTAGGTGTCACGTAATCCACAAGTTCTCATTTACAACTCAAACTTCCTGATATTATTTTAGATCCTTCCTTGAAAGCCATATGGTGTTTCTTCATGTGGTGCGTTGAGTCTTAAACCACTGAGGAGATCATGTGACTGCCTGCATAATCCACAAGTCTGTGTAGTGGAACAGAGACAGTTTTTGTTATGAAATATATCATGGTGTTTGGGCTTTGGATACCACAATGATATAAACAGCATAGGGACCTGTACAAAAACAAGAGGGAAAGACTGTGAGATATTTTGGGAAAGAAACGGGATGGGTGACTCTAGTGATTAAGAAGAACAACATTCTTCCTAGATTTCCTTTTATCCTGGATACATAAAAGAGCTCATGAAGGTTCTAAAAGGTGGAAGAAAGAGAGAAGTTAAAAATTCTATACTCAATCAAGCTATGTGAAAGCACTGATCAATTCAATTAACTTTTTTTTTCCTTTCAAGTTTACAAAGTAAATCCACCTCTGGATCCTCTCATGGACTTGCACCCATGGATAATTAGGACTAATGGCTTTTCATCGCCTGTTTTTATAGCACTTTTGAAGACCATGAGGAAAGAGTGAGTTATTGGAATAAGTCTTAGCAGTGTGAGGACAGATAAGCTTATATTTGGACCAGGGACGACTCTCACAGTTCTACCAAGTAAGTGAAACTTTTTAATTCCTAAAACTTCATTTAAAATTGAGGTGAGGAGAACAAGGGAATTTAATGGTTTGGGTTCACTGAAAGGATTTTCAGCTGCAATAATCCCTTGAATGCACTTGCTCATCAGCCAGGCTTTCAACCCAAACCCTCAGCTTGGATCTGCTCAGGAAGGTTTCCCAGGAACAACTAGGCTGACTCTGCATAGCACCATTATTCCATGATCCCCAAACACCAGCAGGGCACTGCTTAGCCTGTGATAACTTATTCCCACTTTGGGCAGCACTCTGGCCCAAATTTACTGTCCAGTGCCCAATTCTCCAGTGGACTTGCACTGGCTGACTTGGGGCAGGAATGCAGAGCTCAGTGAAGAGCTCCCAGTGGTGAGGAGTTTTGAGACAGATCTGTAACTGCCTGCTTGGAGAAGTTCTGGTTTGACACTGGCACCACACTGACAGTGTCCCCAGCTAAGGAATTCCACTGCCCTGGGGACAGAGCAGGAAGGAGGTGAAATAGCCTTGGGCTTAAATTCTCACAAGTGCCTCATATCCAAGAGCTCCTGGAATTAAAGACAATTGGCTGCCAAGTTGTGTGGGTTCTGAAAAGAGCAATGTGGGGAGTAGGGATTATAGGAAGCCTTAGTTATTCCTATCTTTCTTTGGAATTCCATGACAAACAGTAAAGGTGCATGTCACCCCAAGCTTTTATAGGGAAATGTGAATGTTGGGGTGGCAGAAAGGTTTTTGATGATGATCTCTGTGATCCTAAAGAATCAGGGGCATCCCCCAGGAATTGTTGCTTTGCTTTCAGAGGTCTGCATGTCTCAAAAGTGTGGCAAGAAAGTCCCATGTTATTTTGCATCCCTAAAACTTCCTGCTCTCCTTCCAGAAAGACATGGGACTGCCTTGGGTGCTGCCAAGTATCTGTCCATGTCTGCAGGGTATGTTGCATGAGAATAAATGTGTATTTGGGAACAATCTCAGAGCTCTTCCAATTCCTAAGGGACAAAGGAATGCAAATTTACCATTGTGGAGGGAGACCGTTTCTTTCCTTGCTGTTCAATGAATTTCTTTTTCTAGCAAATAGCAGGATATTTCCAGAGCTGCACAGCGACTCTGGAATTATGTTTGACAGTAAAAGACATTGAGCTTAAAGTATCATAGTCTGCTTTATCTTTCAATTCTGCTGAGATACTTAATAAGTTGAAGCCAATATTTTCAGGATGTGAGCAACCTCCCCCTTTTAGTTCTGAATTACTTTGGGAGCTGCAACTTAAAATATGCATTTTAAAATATTTAGAGCACAAATACTTTACTATCTAGGGTTTTGCCAGCACCCCAAATCAAATGATGAAAAATAACAACCATTAGTGTTACTGTGGGATACTCCAGTCATATTCTGTTGAGGCCTCAGTTAAGGACAGAGAAGGCTTTCCTTTTGGTTCAGGTTGGATTATTCCAGATTAAACATTCATTAAGAATGCTAAGGCCCATTACTTTCTGGAATATAGGGCTCATCCTGTGACTGATGAAAGCAAAAGAGAAGAACACATTTTTCTCCAAATAAATTTTCAGAACATAAACATAAAACACCAATCCCATACAGAAGCAAGCAGTGGTATGAATTCATGGCTGTTTTATCTGATAATGCAAACTAGTTGGACTCGGGGTGAGCCTTCTGGGGTAAGATAAAACAAATCTTCTGCTCTCTGAACTACAATTGCACTGGGTACATTATTGCTTGCTGAAGATCTTGCCCAGGGAGCTATTGCAGAGAAACAGCCTGTTTGTATTCTGGCTGTTGCGAAAGCCTGGAGAGGAGACCCCATGAAAAAGCTTTCAAGGTTTTCTCAGAGAACACAGAATGCACAGGATTCACAGGCTCTGGCCAAGCCTGGTACAACAGCTGGGAAGGAAATGCTGGATCAAAATCTTCTGACCCTCAAGTGATTGTGATGAAATCAAAGAAACTGGAAGAAGGCAACAGCGCTGGGAAAGCAGCTTGTTTGGCAAGGAACTCCCCAACAAAGAACATCAGCTTGGAGATGCCCTCTCAGGAGGTCATCTATGAACAGAGCACATCCATTTTGACATCCAAGGGGTTGTACAATGCAATTAAAGTGGCCAGGGTGACAACAGACATGGAGGTGACCTGCACGGCCAAATTCGACAACCGCGTGATAACAGCACAGCCAGGTACAGTTTGGTGGCACAGCTGTCACTTATTTCTGGAGACAGTGGCCTGTGGGTGTTGTGTTCTCCTTCTGGACAGCAGTGCCCTGGGCAGCCAGGAGAAATAAGAAAGACATTTGGGATTTCAGCAGAGAGAGCTGAAAGATGTTTCAAACCATCTAAAACAATGTTTTTTCAACTGTTTAATTACTTTGAGATACTTTTTTGGGGGAGAAGAGGGAAGACACCATCTATTTCTTTAAAATGTGTATTTCCTTGTGACTGAATATTTTAGCCTTTCGCAGCAAACCTGCTGCAGCACAAGCTGCAACAGCCCTTCCAATATCAACACAAAGTTAAAGGTGGCGTATGCTGTGAGAGTTTTTTTAATTAGATGAATTGTTATATTTGGTGGGTTTACTCTTTTAGTCCTGAAGGTCATTCACATAGCAAAACCAAAACAATGCAGGACTTCTTCTGTCTCCTGCAACTGCATGGAGAAATTGTCTCTTCAAATTAATGTCAGAATTAATGCTGACCAGCTGAGGCCCAGTCAGTACTTTCTTCCGATTTTCTATGAGAAATGTCATCTGAACATTTTTTTAATCCTGTGTAAATGGTGGATATAGTTTACAATGTGTTTTCTTTATCATGATACAGAAGAGGAGGCTGAAGAACCAGTAACAGGGTTTGGAGAACCAAACAGAACCAGAACAGTGTCAGGGGCCAGTGACAGGGTTTGCAACAGCACAGCCCCCTCAGCACAAGTTGAGTTACCCCAACAGGATGTGAAGTTACATTGCTCTCTGGGGGATAGAGGCATGGAAATCTATTTTCTCCAGGGCAGAGGACTCAGAACACAACACATTCAGCACACACAAACTGCTGTTCCAATGTTGCTCCTGCACTTACATACAAGTGCCAGCAAAAAGCAACAGGGACAGACCCTGGGCTCCCATGTTGTTGCCATGTTCTCTCTTGGCTGTTCCTTTGCTGCCCTTCCTTTCCCTGAAACTGTCACCTGAGGATTTCCCACTTTCTGCCAAGATCACAACACCAAAGCCTAGACCATGATCTCTCCCCTCTTTTCTGGTCACTGAGCAGACCCTGAAGAGCAGAGAGTGAACATGCTGTCCATGGCTGTGCTGGGTTTGAGAGTCCTGCTGGCAAAGAGCATCGCCTTCAACGCCCTCATGAGTATCAAGCTGTTTCTTTTCTGAGGTAAAGAGCTCACAGCTATCAAACACTGGTTCAGAGTCCCAATTTCTTTAAATGTACTTTAAACCTCCCTTTGCTCTTCCAGACATGGGGAATGAAAGCAAGAGGAACCCGAAAAAGAGCAGGAAAGAATGTGAACCAGCAGCACAAGGGGGTGGATCAAGCAGGGGCAGAGCTGCAGACAGACACCACTCAGGACACAAGGCAGCACCTTCCCCTGAAGACACTGAATACTGTTCACTCCTGCCTGGCCAGCTGATTTGCACTGAAGAGTTTCAAGTGCTTTTGATGTTTCCTCTCCTCTGACAACTGAGGAGAGTGGATTTATCCTCATCCTCCTGCTAAGTAGATCTCCCCACTCTTCTGGCATTTGCACACAGTCCCACACGTATTCCCAATCTCTCAGGCAGATTTACATTTTGACAATATTGCCTCAGACAAAATCAGTGAAATCAGATGCACAGGAGGGAAAGGTCATCAAAATACCCTCTGGTAAAAGAAGCACATTTGCCTGTGGAATTATCCTGACATCTGAAAAAACAATATTGACCTGGTTCCTATATAATGGAGGATGATTTTAAGCAGAACTCTTTGGTACAGTACATTTTTACAGTACTACTTCTCTTCTCCTAGACACTAATTTGCATCCACATTTGATTGCGCTCACAGACTTTGCAAATCTCCAGGGGTTGAACCACTATCCCTGGAGACATTCAAAAACCACCTGCACACGGTCCTTGGCAACAGCTCCACACAGTCCTGCTAGAGCAGGGGACACCCAGTCACCTCCAGAGATCTCTTCCAACCTCAGCTCTTCTGTGTTTCTGTGACATCTTTCTCATACTGGGGGCAATGAGAAGAAGTTCAACATTTCTTTATATACCTTTAGTCAGGGGTTTTGTACACCTTTGCCCAGGGGGAAAGGAACTGAAGTTTCTTTTCAATGGACTGATCCAGCACGCCAGGCCTGATTAGCTTCACATCCCAGCAGATTGGGAGCAGCACAGAAGATACACAAAAGATAAAAACCATAAACCAACATCAACTCCAAACATCAGCCCTGGCATGGTCAGAGACACCTGATCTGGGAAAAAGATCAATGAGAGAACCAAGAATGAGAACCAAAATAACATTGAAGGTGAAGGGATCAAAAAAACCCAAATACTACAAACTGTGGAACTTGGGACCAATGATCATTGAACCAATGATTTTCCCTGGGTTTTGACTGTAGAAGTACAAGAGCACTCCAGTGAAAACCTTGTGTGATGGAAGGATTTTCTCTGCACAATCCAGGCAATGTGTGGATGAAATGATCTCTCTTGCCCATCTTGGCCAGAATAAAGTAATGCCTTGATCCTCTAACACTAAAGCTGTGGGAGAGTTTTTGGTTTTCCCACAGTTTCAGTGACAAGGCCACCCACAACATGAACTTCAACAAAACTTTTGAAGTAATTTGAGGAAAATTTTCTCCTCTAGCACATTCATTTTTCCTACCCCTTAGTGAGTCACACACATGGAGTGTGGTATCCAACATCTGTCCTGCTGAGCAACCCAAAATGTGAGAGCTCTCTCCAGTGGCAGAGAACATTAAAAGCATCCTAAACCTCTCTCCAAGAGGTTACATGGGATAACAAAATTAAGAACTCCGTGACAATGTGCAATACTGAATAGCTTTTTGTACCACTGAATCTTTCCGCTGTCTCATACAGCATTAAATGTACAATCTAATAATTACATTACTGCATCTGCTAGGTATAATCTAACCTGTCTGTTTTATATATGTCTGAAATACTAAAGAAGTTCCTGGTACAGTTAGATCTTTTGATGTAAACTGAACTGCTTTCTCTGGTCTCTCCTGCTACCTTCTGGCCAAAGTGTTTATCGTTCTCACAGCGCTTGCAAATTCATGAAATCCCGCAAATAGCTCAAGCAGGAGATGAAAAGCAAAAAAAACAACTCAATAAAAGAAACCACCCAAACCCCACAAAAAGTGTTGTGCTGGGACATGCTGCAAATGAAACTTCTTTGGTCTTCATTTGCATTCTGGCAAGCCAGCAGGAACAGCTGGAAACTCTTGTGAAGTGATACAGAGGCTTTGGAAAGCACAGGATCAGGAAGCTGAAAGAGCTGAAAAACTAAGGTGAGATTCAGAGAAGCTTTGACTGAAATTTCATACTAAAGCAGGGTTAGAGCTGGAAGTTATATGTAACAGAAGAAAAGGAGTAAAATACGGGAAGCACTTGAAGCACTGCTTTCAAAATTCCTTAGGAATCTCAATCTGAAATACTGCAGCAGTCTTACACTTGGGCTTCCTGACCGTGTTCTGTAGAGATCAGGCTAAATATCTCAGTAACTCCCCCATTCCTGACTTGTGATCAGAAAAGTGTTTCTGTCAGATTTTGCCTTGGATTTACAGGTGAGAAACTGTGGTTTTGCTGAATTCTGTGGTAAGCATTTCTCTTTTGCAAAGGTCAGGAAATACGGAAGGAGGGGGGAATGCTGGTAATGAAAAGTGGTATGTAGAAAATGACAGGAGGAAACCCAAGGCTCACCCAAGTGAGCACCACAATGTGTAGGTTAATTCAGCTAGAGATCGGTTTTTATCTGGATCTCTTTCAGGAAGCAGTGAGTGATGTGTGCCCTGATTTGTTGCAGGAAGAACTACATGGGGTTGCACTCAGGACATCATCACTACTGCATTTCTGAAAAACTCCCATAAGCAATT